AGTATAGGGGTCTTAATAATTAAAATTGGGTTCCTTTAAAGGGCTCTGTTTAGTAAGGGTTCCTTAAAAAAAACGGCCGATATAAGGGTGACTATAAGGCATACTATAAGGGTTCAGGCATACTATAAGGGTTCTATGATCTAGGGGCCTTAATAATTAGAACAGGCTTTTGAGGCCCATTATACTCCATTTATAATAAGGAAACAACTGAATTATTCAGGCCCCTAGATTGGGGCCCTGCTTTCTTCTAGGGCTTCATCTGGGTTCAATATAGGCTCTACTCAGGGTGTTTGTTAGGGATTGAGGGGTTTGGGGGTTGAGGGTGTGCAGCGCTAAGCTTCTGGGACTTTAGGCGTACCTGGACTTCCACCCCGAATCCAATACAAAGTGCGGAGGCTACCAGGACCCTCCCTGTACCTTTAAACAAACAAGGATATATGGGTTTAGGGCTTTCAATGTTTATAGCCTCTCATCTTAGGTTACATGGGTTTAGGGTTTATAGCCTCTCATCTTAAGTATCTAGGGTAGACGGTAGACGGAGGAGCCTCTTCTTGGCGACGTCTCTGCTCGAGCTGCAATCGGCGTTCCTGAAGCCAGACGGGAAAACTGGAATTCGGGCGGAGAAGGCGGATGTGACGGGCCTGGCACTTCCGGCAGCATTTTGTTGGCAATGTATGCCGTTTGATTTTTGGCAGGTTTATGATTTCAGCTTTAGGCTAAACCGGCTGCTTGACTATGGCATTTGGCTACGGAATGGTACTCTGCAGCAGCTAGACAGGGCCAGCTGGACGGTTATGGTGCTGTTTTGATCTTCCAAACCTTCCCGAAACTGTGCACTGACTGAATCCCTATACTGCGCCTCAAGCCTTAGCCCCTGACGCCGTGCCCTGCTCCCGAATCCGTAAACCCTGCCGAACCCTGCGGGGTTTTCCAGTACTGAGCAGCTCTGACCTTAACTTAAGCCCATATACCTAGGGGTCCTTATTGAGGGTCCCTCCTTTTACCCTTGGACCAAAGGGTCCTATGTACTGTTATGGGGAAGGCTTTCCCAAATCATAACGGTAGTTCCTAATATAGAAACTCTACATCCTACTATATCGGTACTTAGTACCCTAAACCCTAAACTCTCATAGCTCCCTAAAAGGAACCCTTATGGTACCTTTAAAGGTACCTTTAGCAAGGGCCTGAGGGTTTTGGGGCAGGCGGCCCCGCAACGCTCTTAGGGAGGCGGTCCAGAGTTAAGGATGTCAATGGTCTGTTCATATACATATATATATATATATATATATAGGACCCTCAATTAATAATCACCTATACTATTTTTTTGGGGGGGTCCCTTTTTTATTATTTATAGTATAACGGGCCCCCAAACCCTATTCCAATTATTCGGGCCCCTATATTAGATACAGAACCCATACGGACCTGAAGGTTTTCTGAGGGCAAGAAAGTTAGGTTCAGTAGAGCTTCTACTCAGACGGCTGCAGTGCGAAAAGATATAAGAGGAAGGATAGCCAGAGTTTGGGTACATGACATTTCACCTCCCTTACCCTACTGGTTCAGTCCCCCCGATCCTGTACCCAAAGGGTCCAAAAACCGACATAGTAGACTGTAGGGCTTCTATATTAGGAAATACTATTATGATTTGGGGAAGTCTTCCCCATGACAGTACATAGGACCCTTTGGGCTTAAGAAGCCCCGGGACCACAAACCCAAACGCACGAAACACTATAGCAACCATCACAGACACCGAGACGAAGAACAAACACCTACTTGCTAGGTCGGCTGATCCTCTACGTAAGCTCCCTAAACCTTCTCAGCGACCCTCAACCCTCCATCGGGAATAATATGAAGCAGTAGCAACTAGAATGGGGCCTTGGGGGTCTACTCTGAATTTGAACAAGAAGATCTAGGGAATAACGTTGGTACATAGTATGACTACTAAAGCCATGAACCCTTATAGAGACCCTTACAACTATTTTGACACCTACCCAAAGGGTCCTATGTACTGTTATGGTGTTATGGGGAAGACTTCCCCACATCATAATAGTAATTCCGAATATAGAAACCCTTCATTCTACTATATCGGTACTTTGGACCCTAAACTCTAAACTCTCATAGTTCTCGAAAAGGAACCCTTATGGTACCCTTAAAGGTAGGTACTTTGGGCTAGACTACGATCAAACTCTAAGGGCTGGGCCTCTTCCTCGACCTCTCGCAGCTGCACCTGCCAGCACACGAGAGCAATGGGGGAAGAGAGCGGGTCTAGGCGTTCTTTTTTGGGGTTTCCTGGACCCAAAGGAACCTACCTTTTTAGGGTTCCCTAATATGATTTCTTTATATAAGTCCTTAAAAAGGTAGGTTACCTGGGGTTAGGAGTTTAGGGTTTAGGGGTTCATTTCTGGGATGTGCAGTCTGAGGAGGGTTTCGGGGCATATTATACCATAATCACAATAAGGAAAAACCCGATATAGCATTGGTAATTATTAAGGCCCCTGTCTTACTCCGACAAGGAAGCCTGAGGCTAACGACTCGGGCTGATTTCCGCGAAGTCCGTGAGGCTCTGACAGCGAGTCAAGACCATCTGATCCTGAAGTAATGTAAGGGCCTTAAAAATTAGAATAGGGTTTTGGGGTTCCTTACTATAGTTATAGCATCATGTACCCCCCCCCCAAAAAAAAAACCTAGTCTAATTGTTAAGGCGCCGACAGTAACAATAACGAACCCGAGGCTCCCTTTGTAATTTTACTAACAATGGCATCGAATAGGAGTTGCCTGCAAGGTGGTTCCTGTTCTAGCGTATTAACAGTGTGTTGGGATAGGAGTTTGTTTGGGAGGCGTGTAAAGGGTAACCGATAGGCAGGAACCACTTTGGAGATAAGGGGCAAAATCTTGAGCCATCCCAGAACGCAACAGTTGAAAGATGGAACTTCGAGCCCAAGCCCTGAACCCGAAACCCCCGTAAAGCCCTTATACAACCGTGAACCGCAGAACCCCGACCCCTTTTATGAAGCCGTGATATAGAATCAAAAACCAAAACTACAAATCCCCTTGAAGCCATGATAAACAGAATGCAACCGGAAAAACAATCCAGACCCCCAGAATCTGGCCTGGACATCAAACGCCATGAGAGCACTGTGCCGCCTAAGGGGTGTTAGGAGCTCTTGGAGAGAATAGAGTTCGGCGCCGTACTATAACGATTTTTGGGCATGGTCCGGATTCTTTCTTCTTTTCGAAGGCTCTTTGTGTGTATTAGGGTCTGGTGGTTATGTTCCAGATTCCTTCTTCTTGTCGAAAGCTCTTTGTGCGTGTTAGGCTGTCATGTTGAACTGGGGTGCCAGAGTTTTGGTTCTGTAGTAGTTCTAACCATACAATCATGCTTACTGATCGTCCGGCCTGGAGTACATCCTCAAGGATTCAGGGGATGCTTGATTCCCTAAACCCTTAGCCCCTGGCTTCAGGTGCCGGCAGTGCATGTGGGGTTGCGACAAGCGCACATCAGGAATCGGATGACATACCTTCGGTTAGTAGAGAAAAAAGAATGGTAGCAATAGTCATGGCTATAATTTTGTACTCCATTCCTCCATTCCCTACTAACCGAAGGTAAGATGAACAGTCGCTGCATGCTCTTTTCATCCTGGCGGTGGCCAATTCCACAGGAAGCAGCCAGAAAAACCTTTGGACAGACACGGATATGCACAGTTGTGTATGCCTTTGGACCCCTCATATAATGATGGCAGCAACAGTGTCACACACACACACAGACGAACGCTGGATGCAAGGTACTAACCGAGACCCTCAAGCACTAGACAGGCTTACATGTTGCTTCAAGGCTGGATGCGCAGAACAGTGATACGGTTGATGATATAAATCCTGCATTACCCATAATAAGGAATATATGGGAATTATGGTATATTCCTTATTTATATCATCAACAGTAGGGGGGGGGGAGGGTGGGATCATGTCAGCGCCAAGCGAGCAGCCTGATGGCAGAGTGCAGGTGGTCCCAAAGGTTCCAAAGTACCGATACAGTAGACTGTAGGGTTTCTATATTAGGAATTACTATCCCAAAGGGTGCAAAGTACCGATATAGTAGAATGTAGGGTTTCTATATTAGGAACTACTAGTACGATTTGGGGAAGTATTCCCCATAACAGTACATAGGACCCCTTGGGGGTTGGGATCTCAGGTTCCTCCCCCTACAGCTCGCGCATGTCCGTCTCAAAGACACCGAAGCTCTGTTCTGCGGGTTCAAGTACTTGCATCGTACGTGCAGACACCACCGAAAACCCGGCAGGAAAGAGCCTGGCTACAGCAATAACTAGCACCAATGGCACTAGGTAGCAGTACTGTTTCGCGGCAGTAGTTGCCGACACCATCCTAGCAAAATCCCAAGCAGTCTAGAGGTTCAAACCCGATTAATTCCTGGTCCTGAACACTAAACCATACATAAGGGTCTTGGCGGTAGCCGCCGCACTTGGACCCGCAGGCCTTGCAGGCAGAATACACGAATGTACATGACATGCCCCCCCTTTCGGAGGCGAAGTCCTAGCCCCAAACCGCATGGGGCTTAGAGTTTAGGGACTTGCGGCTTAGCGCTGACTACCAACACTGGGAGGTTCAGGATAGATACCTGGGGATGTAACATGGCATAGTCTGGCTGGGAAGAAAACGTCTTGTCGGCAGAACGCGTCTGCAGCGGAGCAGCCAAAATGGCAGAACGATTCAGTTCTGCTGTTGAGGGCGTGCGCAGCTCAACTGCATAACGGCTGGATACTAGCGACTCCATCGCCAGCCCATTGCGAAGGGTAGCCGATTCCACCAACAGACAAGCGCCACCGGCACCCCGAGCATTCACTGACTCGTTCCTAATATACCATAGCAACAGTCTGGGACACTCGGGGCTTAGACCTAGGCTTGTATCAACATTGCAAGTCGGAGCCGATAAGAGTGCATGTCCGCATGGTGGGCTCAAGAGAAGACTTGCAAGGTCACTCTGCGCATCACGCAGCGCGGTCTCCCGGGATGGGGATTTGAGGCTCATGGTCAAGTTCCCAAAGGGTCCTATGTACTGTTATGGGGAAGACTTCCCTAAATCATAATAGTAATTCCGAATATAGAAACCCTACATTCTCCTATATCGGTACTTTGGACCCTTTGGGTGTGTAGGGCTTTTCCGATTTCATAGGGGTTGTCAGAGCCGGGGCTTAAATTTGTCTGACTGATAGAAACCCTAGGAAGCCTAACCTAAACCCTCAACTCCGAACCCCAAACCCCACGCACTGAGACCCTCTGTGAATTGCACAGCTTTCCCAAGGGCTCCGGTTACCTAAATAGTAGGTTAATGGGGTGCATCAAAGATGGTTAGCTAACCAGTGGTTTTGGGGGTTCCCTTGGCTCTTTAGCTCCTTATTTGATAGGGATTATCATGATCCCTGGCTCCTTAGCTCCCCCAATATCAATGGTGAGTTAGTAACCTACTATTCAGGTAACTGGAGCCCTACCCAAAGGCTCCATGTACCCATATAGTAGATACTTAGGCCTTACAGTACCTATATAGGGACCCCTTTAAGGCTTAAGTACCTACTATACAGGTACATGGAGCCTTTGGGCTAGGTTTTAACAGGCATGTCGGCCCAGTACGTGGCGGCGTGCTGAGGCAAGCTGCGCCTTGCGGCTGCTGGGTTGGGGTCCCTCAGGATTCCTTCACAAATTATTCCCCAAAGGGTCATATGTACTGTTATGGGGAAGACTTCTCCAAATCATAGTAGTGCATACTAACGTAGACCCCTGAGTAGTAAAGCCCTCTCATTTACCATAAAGATTACAATTTACCAATAGGGCTATTCAATAGGGATCTATTGTAAATGAACGCCCTTGCAGCAGGGGGCTATGGAAATCAGGGGTCGACAGTACTAAACACGATGCAGCACGAGGAAGTATCATTTGGGGCGAGTGCCAGCATACCAACACGAGGAACTCCAGCATCAGTCAAAAAAGATCTAGGAGAGTTCAAAGTATTCGCACCGCACTGTTTCGATTAGACTCCGGTTTAGGGTTTAGGATACATATACTAGGAATTACTGATATGATTTGGGGAAGTCTTCCCCCTACAAGGAAGGCTCCAACTTCAACCTCTTGAAACTGAGAGACGAAGCTGGCTTCCAACGACTAAAGCTCTACGTTGGACTCCGAGGCCTAAACCTTAAACCCCAAACCCAAAACCCCGACACCCCAACCCCCTAAACTCCAAACCCTCAACTCTGAACCCTAACCCCCTAACGCCCTAAACCCCAAATCCTAAACCCTAAACCCTAACACCCTAACGCCCTAAACCCTGAACCCTAAACCCCCTAAGCTCTAAACTCCTAAACCCTAAGGCCTTCTACGATATGGTCTATGCGTTCGGCAGACCTCGGGTTCGAACCTGTTTCTGAACCCCTAGCCCGCCCTCAGACCTAAGACCTGGATTCCAGGACACACATAAAAAAAACCGATACCTAAAGATGTATTACATTTTCTATGGTATATATATATATATATATATATGCATCTGCATATGTAAACATGTACACACAGACATATACATATATATATATATATATATATATATATATATAGGTATAAATATGTATATATATATATATATATATAGATACCTTGCATGTTATGGTGTCCTCCAGATGGCCGGTACCATCGCCGCCGGGTCGCCTCGGTAAGTGTCTTGTGTTGCTATTTGACGTTTCAAAGACAAAGGGTCCAAGTATCATTATGGTATATACTTAGACCCAAAACACCCTATAAGTATATACCATATAATGATACTTGGACCCTTTGGGAAAGACAACAAAGAACCCCGGCGTGGACTCAACTTACCTTTGGTTAGTAGGGAATGCAGGAATGGGGTACAATTATAACTATTGCTACCATTCTTCCATTCCCTACTAACCAAAGGTAAGTCAAAAAGTAGCAGGAGCGCTAAACCTCGATCCCCTCACCCGAAACCCGGAACCCAAAATACACCCTAAACCCCTGAGTCCTGAACCCAAAACACCTATCATAGGAGCCACAAGAGCGGGACCCGAATGTTCCGAAAATCACTCTTTCTTCGGGGGGTTGGAGGTTTCTGCTGCGTTTCGAGGATGGATGAAGCGCGGCTAAGGCTAAGGCCCATCTTTCACTACGCTCAGGTCTTAAATGTTTGAGGATTCGGGCGTTAGTATATGATTTGAAGTTTAGGCAGGGGGGCTCAGGGTGTGAGGACTTAGGCGTTGAGAGGGCCTGTCCTTAGGTCAGGTCTGCCGATGTCACACGGACGGATAGGACCACCAACTGCAGCCTGCTGGCGAAGACATAGGCCGTAATGTCAATAGCAGTAAATACATGCATGGGTGCTTGTCAAAAATGAGGGTCCCTTTTTGGGGTCCTTATTATAATACGGCACCTATTATTTAGGGTACCCAAAAAGGGACCACTATTTTGAAAACTACCCACATGAACTCAGGTGGAAGAACGATCGCTGCAACCAGCCTCGACCTTGCTTACAGGATGCGGTGGCCTAATGAGTAGCCTCTAGGTACCCAAAGGCCCCAAAGTAGTTCCTTCTTGGGGTTCAATTATAGAACCCTATAAGATAATCCCAAAAAGGAACTACTGTGGGGCCTCTAAGTAGAGCCACGAGCACTCTCATTCAGACTGTTTGCAACTCCTTATAAACCCCCCTACAGCGATTTTGCCTCAGCCATTGATCAGCCCCTAACCGCTGAATATGCAAGCCTGAGCCCGGCCTGAATCCTCAGCCCTTGAAAATGGGTTTAGGTTAGAAGCTGCCCCCACCCTGTAATAGTGACCATAAGGATTGTATAGGATTATATTAGGGCCCTATTATATTCCTATTATACCACTATTACAAGGTGGGGGCAGGTTTAGGGCTTAGGGTTTAGGGTTAATGCCCGAACTGCTCAAAGCCTAAACACTATTCAAACGTACCCGAGATCTTTAACCTTACGCCCTACGCCCATGAATCCTAAATCCTAAACCCCAGACCCCAAACCCTATAGACCCTAAACCCTACACCCTCTAAACGTCAATATCTCCGAGTCACGGGGGCTCACCCGCTGGGGCGGGTGGAAGCTCGGAGGGAGCAGGTAGAATTCCGAAAGGATGAACCAGCTCCTCACCTTTCATGTTAGGGTTTAGATGAATATGAGCTATTACGGTTTCAAGGGTTTATTTAGATTAGGTTCAGATTTGGTTTTACATTTCAACGCGTTTCTCGGGGGGGGGTCTAGCAGGGGAAGGACTGTTTTAGTTTGGCTGTCGGGGATCGGATTCGAGAGGTTCACGGTTTGATGTCTTCTGACCAAAGCAGAGACCCTGCTTGCAGATTCACCCATGTTGGCTCGATAATATGGGGAGGTTCAGAATGAGAATCGGGTTTGGCGGTATAGTATATTTAAATCGATTTAGGGAGCCCTCAGAATATTAATATGGCCATCGGATTGCACGCAGGCATCAAGAAACTAGAGCCGAGGTCCTCACCCCGGAAACACAACGGTACCTGTAGTCTCCATTGTAGTTCCTTTTTTTGGTTAACCAGTTTTATGGCTAGGATCCTATAATAGAGATTTTGGCTAACCAAAAAAGGAACTACAATGGAGACTATAGGTAGGATTACAAGCAGGATAACCGCAAGTCCTACTGCTACGTGTCATATGAAGTTGACATCAGCCTCCAAGCCAAACCCATGACCGCGAACCAGCATTCTAATGTTCCGTCCACATCTGAAACCGAAGCCCAACCCAGCTTGAATTCCGACAGTCCAGTCGTCTTTGTTTGAGGAGATGGGAATTTCACCAATAGCATGGGGTGCGAAACAGACCCCGAGCTTTAAGGAGACGCGGAATGCTAACGAAGAACCATCCGTAGCAGGATCGGGATTTCCAAATGCCAATTTGGGAGTTTCTGAAAATTGGGGTATCTTATTTTGGGGTCCTTAGAATAAGGATCCTACTATTTGGGGTAGTGCATTAGGCTCCCCTATTTTCGGAAAGTCCCTTTAAGAACCACCCAGTTGCGGCTGCTTCCTGCTAGACGGATTAGGCTTGGGGTCTCCTCATGGCCCTTAGCCTTCAACGGCACCAAAGCCTGTAACCATCATGTAAAACCCGAGTGGAACTGGTACAAACTCGCCCCAAGCCCTGTACCTGCATGAACTGATAAAAGCCGATGTAGAACCACAGGACGCCCCTCTGACATGCACTGGAAACCACCTGTCTTGTGGAAATCAGGAGAGAACTCGCGCACAGGTGCCTAGTACCAACGCTTTGCTGCCGCCCAGCCAGCTGCGAATCCCCCGTTTGGGCTTTCCAGGTTCCTCCAAGCACTCGGTTTAAGGCCTAGGGCCTAGTTCAGGGGGTTATACACACTGAGGGTAGACAGTTTGCAAGGTTCGGGTTAAGGTTTGGGATGGAGTGCCAAATTACAGTTGAGATTGACACTATCTGTGGGTTTTGCTCCGACGTTAGATTGTCTACGCGAGTCTTACAAGCAGAAAATGGCAGAAAATGGCAAGGGATTGATCAGCCGAACATCGTAAGCAGGGTATAAATTGGGGGTTTCCCGAAAAAAGGGGACCCTAATATAGTACCCTACATAGTCGGATCCTTATACGGACCCCAAGATAATGGGTACCCCTGATTCTCGCAAACTCCCAAATCACGAGCATGGAGTTTCGAAGTTTCGCGGGCTCCTCGGCGTTGAAGGCTTCGGACCCGCGGAAGGGCCGCCCTAAACCCAAACACATGAACTCCCTAAATCGTGCCCCTAAACCCTGAACCCCCAGCCCAAAACAACCTGCCTCTACTCGCCCGAGCTCGTGCCAGACTTCTTTCATCGACATTCGGGCCTCGTGGGCTGAAGGTCACAGAAGAAATAAGTCTAATATAGGGGCCTTAAGAATTGGAATAGGGGTTCCTTTAGAACGGGGTCTATATAAGGGCTATAGGGGCCTAAACAATTAGAGTGGGGTTCTGGGGCCCACTATGCTGTAGTCATGAGGAACCCCCAAAATAGTATGGTAACTATCAGGCCCATGAGGTCCCAAAGGGGGTGTATTTCCAGCGGTCAAAAGAGTTTGGAGTGCTTGAGCGGAAAGGTATGACTCCAGGCTGCGATCAAGACCCCTTTACCCGCAAGGAATGCTGTAGAATCCCTACGCAAAAACCCACAAAAGATGTTTGCAACTCACATATAAGAACAGAAGAAGCCCCTCTTGAAGCCCTGTAAGAACAGTGGAAAATCCCATCTTCGAACCTGGGCCCTGAAGCCTGTACCCCTAAACCCCGAACCAATAAACTCTTAAACCCTAAACCCCTAAACACTAAACTAAGCCCAAAACTAATAAGCTCTTAAACCCTGAACCCCTAAACACTAAACTAAACCCCAAACCAATCAACTCTTAGAGCCTAAACCTCTAAACACGAAGCCCCAAACCAAAATAAACTCTTAAACCCTAACCCTTTGCCCCGCTGCTGCCCTGCCAGCCACCTCAGGGTCGAGTTTACGGCAAGCCTCGGAGATTTCGCGGATCCTGATATCTTCGTGAACATCTGTTGCATTCGTGGGTTCTGAGGTTTAGGCATTTTCTGAAGCGCTTCGTTGGTTCAAAGGCCTCTTTTCGGCAGCATGGTCTTGTTGAGTCGATGTTTCTTGGTTCTTGCGATTTGTAACCCTTTAAGTAGGTTTTAGGGCCGAGGATCTGCAGGTTTCTTTTGCATGTTTGTAAGGGTGGTTGTAAGGGATTTAAGTTGAAGTTACCATAATAGGGAACTCATATGATTTACCGTAGATTCCTATCATGGTAACCTAAATTAAGTTCCTTTGCAAGACCCAGTTGTTGGTGGTTGTAGGGTTCAACTTAAGGCTTTGGGTAATGGGCTTGGGGCTTATGGTTTAGGGTGGAGGCCTCAGTGGGTCGATGACGGCCATCGAGAACCAACAAGGCTAGTGAGTAGGGTTTAGGGTTAAGGCTTTAGGTTTAGGGTTATTCGTGCGGCAATGACGAACCAGTGCTAGTACAAATCTCAACGACAAGTTTCATGACAAGGCAGCATCTGGAATGAATAGGTCAGTGTCAGCGATGTATACTGATAACTAGCACCGTGAGCGGCAATGATTGAAACTTGGTGCCATACCAAGCATCATCAAGTTTGACAGAAAATACAGCCTCAACCCTATCTCCCATCCCTGCACCACGACAAACCGGCCCATAACATCCCTCCAAGCTTTGACTCACCACGGTCACCCGGCGAGCAATCCACTTCCCCCAAAACCCTAAGCCCTAAACCCTAATGAGTCTTGGGCCTAAAGGTGTGGGGACGGTGAATTTTTTTTCATAATATCCGCGCTATGTTTTGCAATCTAGGTTGAGGGCTTTGGGCCTTGGGGATTCCAGGTCAAACAGGGGCCTTCATAGAATAGGGTTTTGGGGTCCTTTACACTATCATTATGACTAGACCTCAGAGTAACCTAGGAATAAAAAGGGTGCCTTTTTTGGCTTCAAGGGGGTTATAAGAAAACCTGAACCCTAAAAAAGGGAATAAGGGCATACTCTGGGTCCTAGATGATAAGAAACCCCCCTAAAGAAATTAGTTTAGTATAGGTAAATATTTAGGCCCCTATATTCTGGCCGGGAACAAGATTCGCAATGCCAGTCCCAGTCCTCGTAGAGAAGTAGTCGGTGGGCCAAACTTCATTCGGCGCATACCTTGCTCCCAGAATTATCGCAGAGCCTGCGACAGCCCCGGAACAACAACCCTAGTCCCGGAAAGCTATACCCTTACGAATAAACGGTGCTGCAAGGATAGGAACGGAAATTTGGGGAATAGGGTCCTGTGCTTGATGAGGAGGTTGGTACCATCGGGTTTTAAGGCGATGCGATCACGAACTATTCGAATCTTTGTAACGTGCTTGCAGCCTTGGAGGGCTTCGCTGACAGAGGCTTAACCCATACTTGTGCTCCCTACCGACATCCTATATATCAACCTGTACCCGGACAGCCATATGCTGGCTGCTGCTTACTCAAGTGTCTGCGTTGTTGCTTGTCAGTAGTATGATTTCCCATTCTTGCATGTCGTCTGAGAACTGCGACGATTCATGGTCCTTATCATGCCGTTCGAGGCGCTGTGGCTTTGTCTATACCCCCCTTAGACCCATAATAAACATAGAATGTGTAATAGTCTCTTGAGTTTTATACTTAATACCCCAATAAACCACAGAACTAAAAGGTTAAACTTTCCGATTGCTACTAAACTCAACGAACCCGAAAGTTTAAAGTTTGTGTATTGGGGATCTAAGTATATGAACAAAACCAAAAACATCCTAAGGAGACTAGGGTTGCCTTGTTCTCGCACCAGGGATCCATAGATACCGCCCCCCCCCAACTCACTCGCACGCCGCAAGGCTGATCCCCATCCCTACCAAACTCATGGACGCGAACCCTACAAAGGGTCTGGGGTTTAGGGTGAAAGGAAAACATAGAACCAAAGCAGAATACCCGAGCACTACGCGATGAAATCCGGCGGGGGAAACCTGAAGATGAGACCAGAAACTGCTATTAGAGACGCCTAAACCCTAAACTCTAAACCCTAAACCCTAAACTCTAAACCCTAAACCCTAAACTCTAAACCCTAAACCCTAAACCCTGGATCCTCAAGCCCGATTCTAGACAAGAACCTACCTACTTGTCGGGTATCATGGGGACCTCAAGGTTAAGCTTTTAAGAGGTTTTATAGGGACTATACTGCCCAAAAAAAGGTCACAGGTTACCTACTCTATTACTAGGCCTAAAGCCCCGAACACTAAAACCTCTAGATGGTGGATGTCCCGGCCCCTGCACACAAAGCACTGAAACTTGAAACCAAGATAAGATCGGGCAAGCCCCTGTAGAGTCCAAAACACACCGTGCCTGAAGCTGCAGTAAAGACCCTTCGAAACTCCCGTGAGCCAGCCAAACCTAAACCGTTTGAATCTCTGTGAAATCCTTAAGCCATCCAGGCCACCCTCTTGCTAATGCGCTCGCGATCTCGTGGCGCTTGAGCTCAATCATGGGGATGGTCCCTGAAACCTGCGCAGATTCTAGGGTTTACGGTTTTCGGCTTGAGGAGCTTAGGGTTCAGGGTGTACTTGGAGGATCATGGGACTTAGTAAGTCAGGTTATACGTACCTTAATTGGGGTTATAGGTAGCTATGTATAAGTACAGTTACCCTACTAATTATGACACTTGCTACGAACCTTTAAGTGGGGCTGAAGGCTTCTAGGATTTAGGGTTGGGGTTTCCGTGATGTGGGTGGGCTGTCAAATAGTAGGTGCCGTATTCTATTAAGGAACCAAAAGAACCCTAATTTTGATAACTACCCATGTAGGGGTTAGTGTTGAGGCTCTGTTAGGAAAGATCTGAGCCTGCAGGCTCTATATTGACAAGGGTCTGTAAAAAAGAACCCTAAACCTTGGGCACTGACCCCCATACAGTAACAGTCTAGAATAAGGCTACTATTAAGGTCCTAGTAGATCTATATTACGAACATTATCCAACTGTTACTGAGTGGGGGCAGTACCCAACCTAAACCCTAAACCCCTAAACCCTAAACCCCTAACCCCTAAACCCTAAACCCCTAAACCCCTAAACCCCTAAACCCCAAACCCTAGGGCTTCGAAATTTCGTAGGAAGCCGGAGCTAATCGTGCACCAGGGCTTTTTGGAAGAGCTGTCGAGAATCTCATAACCCTGGGGATCTAACGGTTGATGATATAAATCCTACATTACCCATAATAAGGAATACACCGTAATTGCCATAGTTTAGGGTCCTTAAGGTAAGGCAGGATTTATATCATCAACAGAAGGACTCATGTATTAAGGCTTTTGGGCCCAAAGACCATACTACATAAGGCTTTTGGGCTATTTTGATCCCAGGGTAAGTTGTTTAAGGCTGTGTCGGGAGCAGGGGTCATACATGGAGGTCGGAGGTTCAGGGGGCTTAGAGTTTGCTTAAGCTTTGAAGTCTTCAGCGAAAAGAATCAGGGGTCGCACGCATCATTTGAACAGGAGTCTATAGACAGAAGATGGTTGACATGAAGGCCTCGGTTCTTACAAGGCTTTATGAGGACGCATGAACAGCTTTGCAAAGACGAAGCTTCGAATGATGTTTTGTAATCGGCTTACAGAGGATGTGAACAGCTGTACAACGGGAGGTGATGGTTGCAGAAGCATATGCTTTATAACTGTGGAGACCAGCATGGTCGCGACTCGTGCGAACCTCCAAAGCAAGACCAACCCTGCCGAGAACATCTACAGCCCTGCTGAGGTCCAAACATGTAACCCTAGGATAGAGGCCTCAACAATGGGAATAGGAGTATGTGATAATATAACTACACCAAGGAACCCTGAGGGCTAGTATTGACCATTCCTCCGAATTTTCCCGTTAATATACAAACTTAATATGAGAAATATCAAAGTATATAAATATACTAAAGAACCCTGAGAGCCATTATTGGTAACTCTTCCGAAAATTGTATTTAGGCATAGCTCCAGAAGGCAGAACTTCCAGAACGTCCATTTGGGCTGGGTTGCTGCGAAGTATGCCAGCTGCCCAAAGCCTGAGAAGCAGTAGTGTAGGGGCCCTTCATACAAAAGGGTTTTGGGCTCCTGGATCGTATGAATATAGTAAGAAACCAAACAGGAATAGTACTGGTAAATATTCAGGCTTCTGGATTAACAGGTGCTGTGCCTTTGTCCTCCTGGTCAGGTTATTGCGATTACGAATGCTACCATCCATCTTGCTGTTGCTGCTTCTGACGGTACAAGTGTTGTAGTGACCTTTCAGATGCTCCTCCTGCAATCGTCTGCGTGTGCTGCTGCTCTGAGGTGAATCAATCTTTAGATGCCCTGCAGATAAGGGGATGGAGATTAGTGTCCGATTAGGGGATTGGGGCTTTTTGGTTCTTATGGTTTGGAGCTGCAGGATGCAAGCTCCAGGTTCAATAGTGTAATCAAGGAGCCTTTGTAATTAAGATAGGGTTTTGGGGCCCATTATACTATGATTATCATAAGGAGCCCTCCAGAACCGTATAGGTAATTAAGGCCCCTACATTAGGCGGCCTTGACAGGGTTTGGGGGCTGATGCGGTCTTGCCTCAGGCGACTAATTTGGCAGGATGGCGTTTTGCACATAGGGTTTAGGGTTTGGGGCTTCTAGGGTTCATCATGCTACAAGTACCTACTACCCCAATAAGCCACAGAAGTGAAAGGTCAAACTTTCCGATTCCTACTAAACTATAAGAACCCAACAAAAGTTTAAAGGATAGGTATTGGGGATCAGAAAGTAAATTGGGGGACCCAAAACGACTGGTGTTAGTAGTTACTTATGGTTCATGCTTGTGTACCAGGGTGTGCGAGGTTGGGCTTACGGTATCCAAGCCCCTGAAAACTAAGCCCTACCTGGGGATCCAATAACCTATATATATATATATATATATATATATATATATATATATAATACATATATAATATACTATAATGTAATATAATACTATATATATATATATATATAATAGAATATACATATCTATATTGGGCCGCGGGTTACAATAATTAGAGGGTGTCACAACCGAGACTACGTACTTCGTAGGGCTTGGGGCCACATGTAAGCCCAAACAAATCCTGGCGGCACTGCAACTGTAGGATCGCTGATACAACAAACTGGCTTTGAGCGGGGTAATATAGGGGCCTTAATAATTAAAATAGGGTTTTCGGGCCATTTAATACTATATTTATAATAAGGAACCCCCCAAATAGTATTGGTGATTATTTAGGCCCCTATAATACTTGCAGCCAAACCTGTGTAATCTATTGAAAAAAGCATTCCCACACCCTCGTAAGGGTTTAGTGCGTTTGGCAGCCACGGTACTGTACGCATCCGCAGCCGTGGAAGGAGGCTGTTGGCCTGCCCCGCAACACATCTTCGGGGCTTCGGGCAAAATGCCTGGCCAAAAACCGTGTGCAGGAGAAGCTGACCTAAGGGCCTTCATACATATGGTTTCGGGGTTTATACCCCAAGGGTCCAAAGGACCCAATAATCAGGTACTCGGTTTTAGGAAAGTAGTTATGTAGGTTAGGATTTTGGAGAGTATATGATTATTGGGTACTTGGACCCTTGGGGCTATACACTACAATTTAAGAGGGGCTGGTACGGCAGACGGTGGATTGGGATTCCACCCCCGTGCATCGCTGGGGAAATCATGTAGCCACCACGGATGCAAAACACTTGGTGTAGGGTTTGGTGTTTAACGTCTAAGGTTTAGGGGTATCAACCGTAATTCCAGGCGGCTAGCAGCTAACCCTCAACCCAGAGACGTTCGCCTGAACCGTAAACTCTAAAACCGAAACTCCAAAACCTTAAACCCTGCAGCCTCGAAGGCTTGTGGGTTTGGCATTATGTTGTTCGAACACTGACTTGGAGATTCACCGGTAGTTATCAGTAAGGTTATACGTGCCCTAACAGGCGCTATTTGCACTACAGCTACCCTACTCACTACCAGTAGGCCTAGGGTTATAAGTCCCCTAATATGCGTTATAGTTGTGGTGACCCTACGTGTAACCTCAGTTATAACTATAACTACCCAAGAACCTCCAAGCAGAGCCCTGAACCTTATACCCTTGCAGAATCCCTATAACCCTTACAGAATCCCTATAGATCCCTTTAAAGGGACCCTTAAAGGAGCCATGATAACTACCCAAGAACCTCCAAGCAGAGCCCTTCCTAAAGCTGACGCCTGAGAGAACCTCTGGGGCACACCAGCGCAGCGTGCCACCCATGCCACGGGCCTTGTTTACTTTTTTACTTTAGGGGCTCAGGGGGGGGGGGTATAGGGTTTAGGGTTTAGGGGTTTAGGATTTATGGGTTCAGGGGTTAAGTTTTGGGGTTTGGGGGTTTAGGGTTAGAACTGTAGCAAGAAGGCCCGCGTGGGGCGGGGGGGGGGGCTTAAACACGACTTTTCCTTCCTAGGGATACCTCGGCCTCTTATACTATGTGTTTACAAAAAAATGTACCGTAGATCGGTCTCTACAAGGGCTTTAGGGTGGGTGGTTGCATGTTTTCTTTTCGGAAGGCAGGGAACGTCAGCGTTTTCGAGCGCTTCGTGGGAAAAGCTTGCAACGTCAGCTGAGATTTTCTGGCATCCGTGGTATTGGCCGCTAGCTATTTCTTGCGAAGGCGATTGTCTTGTGCTAGCTGCAAGGATTTGGGCTCACACCCCACGACCATCAATGTCTAAACACCCGAACAAAGAACAAATCCAAATCACCTCAATTCCCCAAAGCCAGTATACCGCCTTTATAGTGAAGCCGTTACAGAGCCTTTATGACACCCTCATAAACCTTCTAGAAGCATATATAAATCAAAGCTTCAAGCTCAAGCCCAGGAGCTATTGAGGTGTTCTTGCGAGCAAGACCGAAGTCACCAAGCTTTGCCACCAGCCGCTCCCGCGTGGTGTCCTCGGTCATATCAGACAGCTGTTTGGCATAGTTATTTATTTTACAAGAAACTATTCTGTTGTCTGGGGATGAGGGTGTCTTGTTTTCTTGGTTTCGGGTTCGGGACTCAGGGTTGATTGGCGCCCAAGTCGTGCAATGCGGAGTGTTCGTTAGGATTCAGGGCTCAGGGCTTTCAAGGTCCCGTGATTCCTAGTTTAGGGTTGAGGGTTCCGGACCTCACCCAAAGGCCCCAAAGTAGTTCCTTCTTGGGGTTCATATCTAGAACCCTATAAGGTAATCCCAAAATGGAACTGCTATGGAGCCTCTGGGTATCCTAAACTTCCAGCCGTAACTACCTGAGTTTGGCAGGTTCCCGCTTGAAAACCAGAATAAGCATCTTGCAATTAAGCCTACAACAACGAGGTAAGTTTTGGTAGCACAGGTTTGGGCTGAAACTGTGGCTTTGGACTTGGGAGGTGCGCCGTTCGAGGCCTCCGGGCGGCAGGAACGACCCAAGGCAAGACCTGATGGGAGGCCAAAAGGGGGGGGTTTAAGATTCTTGGGGTAGGGATTCCTTAATATGAACCCGATTATGGGCAGCCTAATCCCTACTAAACCCCTATAGGCTAAACCCCCTTTTGGCCTCCGATGAAGACCAAGATCCTACATAACAGAGCAGAGCAGGATCTTTGTCACAAGGATCTCGGAGAAAAAAACCGTACCCCCTCTTACCTTTAAACCCTTAGGCTGCGCACCCAGACCTATAAGTCCCTGGATCTCCAAATGCAAAAATAACCATAAGAGTGTTAATCACCCTCTGGGCCATTACTATAGCCGAACTGAAAAACGTTCCTAAGTCACCACCAGTACATGTGAAGGGTTTAGGGGTTAAGATAGTTGGTTTAGGAGTTAGGGCTCGGGGTGTGAGTTGCGGGGTTTGGGGTCTTGGGGTGTAAGCTTTAGCGGGTTCCGGGTTGGGTGGCCTAAGATCGGAGTACCCTCAGGTCCCTAAACCCTAATATTGTCGGCAAACAAAACCACGAAGCGGAACTACACCTAAATCCAGCCAAGAAAACTGTACAACCTAAACCCCTTCTAAACCCTATGAACCCTAAGACACTAAACCCCCGCCTCAAGCGCCAGCCCTGTAAGGCCGAGGGACTACGAAAATGTTCTCACCCTTCAGGTCACCGTGGACCACCGCTGGCAGTAGCCCATGTAAGTAGACCAAAGCCTATCAGAGGGGCTGATTAGGGTGGCTGTCGAAATGATGATCCCTTTTTGGGTCCGTATTATAATACGGCACCTAATATTTAGGGTACCCAAAAAGGGGCCATCATTTTGACAACTACCCATTAGGGTTTGGGGCCGGGATTAGGGCTACGAGGCTGCAGGGATGGAGTCTTCGGGCTTTGGGGGTTCCATATATTTTCATTTCATTATATTATAACCCCCCAAACCCCATTCTAATTCTTAAGGCCCCTATACTACCTCTGTCAATGAGTTTGAGTTTGTGGGAAGGTTGGGGATTTGGTCTTGGGCTACAAATGCTTGAGTGACATGCCGTAACGTTTCCGCTGGGAGCCAAAAATTCGAATTTAGAGAACCCCCGCCATGTCGAGTTGCCTTCTCACTGGTTGCATGGCTCCTGCTAGTACTTAATTGGGCCAAGAAGTTCGACATTCTATGGGGATGACCAGGTGACTGGGAATTCAAAATGAAGCTGCGAGACGTTGGGACTTGCTTTCCGAAGATTACGAGTTAGGACTGATGGCTCACGCAGGATGGAACTGGCATCTTGCTATGATATCACCATATTGTGCCGGCTATGAACTGGTGGCACAACTGGTTGCTCAGGCTCTTGTAACTGGCTTGGAAGGTCGTGCTGCATGAGGATACAATATATGTGTGTTATGTTTCTGTATGTTGAGTGGCACAGAACTACTACCCTGCGGCCCTGTCCGATGAGGTCGTACCATCTTGCTGCAATCATTCTGCACTCCTGAATCTCAGAGTCCTAGGATACCCAGTAACCTAAGAATAAAAAGGCCTATCTTTTTTTGTATTGGGTAACTTTATAAGGAACCTAGGACTACAAAAAGGGAATAAGGGTACTACTGGGCATCCTTAGAGTCTTATCCGAGGCCTTCCATCAAACGGTTTTGGGCACCCGAAAGCCTGAACGGTAATTTTGGGGTTTCGGATTGCCCCCAAAATGTCCAAAGTACCGATATAGTAGAATGTAGGGTTCCTATTCTAGGAATTACTTTTATGAGTTGGGCAAGTGTTCCCCATAACAGTACATAGGATCCTTTGGGGCCTAGACCCGAAGCTCAAGATGGGGGCCTGAGCGTCTATAAGGCTCACGGGAGAGGGATCAATAGAGGAGGCCTTCATAATTGGAATAGGGTTCCTTCAATTTAGGTAGGGGTTCCTTAAACGGTCCTGAGGGCCTTAACCATCAGAGCAAGGCTTTGGGTTATCTCACACTCAGAAATAAGATTCGTAATTAGTCCGGCCTCTATAGTATGCGGCATTGGAGGTTTCAATCCCCGCAGCCCTAAATTGAAACAGAATGTTGACGGGCCTTCGCCACATCCAGCAGGACGTGCAGGCGCTTTGTCTCAGGAGGTTTCTCGGACTCGATGTACTTGCTCAAAGTGCTCCTGATAGGGCTTTACCCTAAACCCTAAACCGGAACCTGTACCAGGAGGTATCATCCCCTTTTATCTGGTATAAATGTTCCTGCCCCAGAGCACGGTTTGCAATGAGCTGGGCGGGCTGCAACTCCAACCCGCTTTAGGCCATCAGGACTGTTGGGCTCGGTGTCAGTGCGGCTTGTTAGTTGCCTTTCAGGGCTCAAGGCGTCCATTCAGACAAACACTCTTCTAAGGGTCGTGCGGTACGCCACGGCGTGCCTTATTCGCATCAAAAGTTCTTTGTCTGAACTCAAGCCAGGTCGATCCAAAACCCTCAAACTTCACGGCTCCAATGATGCCAAAAGCCTGCATACCAAAAAAACCCTAAACCCGAAACCCAAAGCCCGGACCTCAATTCAGAATCCACAACCCTATACCTGCAATCTTGAGCCGAAATACTATAGGGGCCTTAATAATTAAAATATGGTTTTTGGGGCCCACTATGCTGTCCTTATAATAAGGAACCCCCCCAACTAGTATATACATAGGTCATTATTAGGCCCGTGTATTATGGGTAGCTGTTTGGGAAACCCTATCGAAGTCTACAGCCTCTAACTCGGGAGCCCGAAAGAGACCCTAATTCGGACAACCACCCACATTTTGCTTCGGGGAGTCCCTTCCATCTTCTCAAAGATCAAGATCATCTCGAGATTGTCTACATCCACTGTAGCACCGTAGAATGCAACCTGAAAACGAAACCAAGGCGCAGAACCAGACTACAAACAGTCAAAACAGAATTCAACGGCCTGGGGAGGTCCAAAGTTTTAAGGGCTTCAATAAGTTGGGAAGTTTGACGTTTGGGGATGATACGTTGTTTTCTGCTAAGGTTTTGCACCCGAATCGGAAGGTTGCGTGAAGCGACGTCAAGAATCGTAGCGAGTCTTGCAAGTCTGTGATATAGAGGCTTTAAAGACTGCAGAAACTTGCGGATCTCAAACAAGGGCTTCTCACTCGTCGCTTTACACTGCCAAACACGGGGTTCTTGAGAAAATAACTATGACGGACGCTATCAGCATGCCAGTTTGAGGGTTTCGGGATGCGCGAACATTGCTTTTGTTCTGCAAGTGTTGCAGAACAGGGTGTGAGTGTGCTAAAGGTGTCGGAATTTGAAGGATTTCAACTTAATTAATATTGTGAACTGCCAAAGTTTTTAGCTTGAAAAGCTTCACCAAGTTCGAAGGGTGAGGTACAGAGGGGTTTTGCTGTGGCCTGCATTGTAGGGGAAGTTCCGAAGGTATCAGCATTACGTACATGGAGAATACGGGAATTATTATATCCCTACCCTAACCCGTAAGTCCAGATCGCGGATATCACTGGAAAATACCGCTGCTCCCCCATTGCATCCTCATTAGCCTTGAAAGCCAGACAGCCTCCATTGAAGCCCTGACACCCATAGTCCTGTAAATGAAGCCATGGGGAATTATAGAAAAACCCACGCAGCAAAGCAACACCTTAAACCTTAAATAGCCCTAACCACACACCCAACAGCATCCGATGACTCCGGGCAACGATGTTCGGATGCCGGACGTAGCGAAGCAACCGGAGCTCCGTGAGATAGTTCCTTAGCTGTACTAAGATGTGGTGCGATATACCCCCAATAGTCGTGCTGATTCAAAATTGAAGCCCCTCTTTGTTAAGGTTTGTAAAGTGATGCGTTTTTTGTGAAAATGCCCTGGTGTTTTCAAGCAGACTACGGTTCAGAATTCAGCTACGATATCGTAACTGGTCTTTCGTGTGGGGGTCGTTTCTTTTATTCGCTATTTCGTTATACAATCGGTTAAGTTTCTGTTCAGTGCGGTCTTCATGTTGTTCGTGATGTTGTTTGCTCATGTTTGTGGGAGCTATAGAAACACGATCCGGCGGACTCATATTGGATTGTTCAAGCCCACATGTTAACGCAAAGCGTTTGTCTAACATATGACACAAATTAGCGTGTAAACGGTTGCTTCGGCATGTAAGGCTTATAATGCAGATTCTACTTACGCCGAAAACAATCATGTCCGTGGAGCATAACCCTTAGCGGTGAACCGTGAATTCGATAAGGCTCATGATGAGGACGTGGTCCCGCGTGTTCGGCGTCTGCGAGGTCGAGTTCTTGGTGCTCTTCCTCAAGTGGGAAGGCTTCGGAGGCTGGGGATGCACACCGAGCTTAGTTTAAGGCTCATGGTTGAAAATAGCAGAACTCGCGATACAGCAGTTCATATGATCATGTCAAGTCGTTCCTCGTGCGAAGTGTTGTGTTGTGCCTGCTTGCATTTGGCCTTTGCTGAACGCAGCTACATGCGGATGGAGACCGTTTCAATGGTCTGTTGACTAGTGGCAGAATAACCGAGTAGTCATCAAGTCGAAAGCGCAACGAAACCATGGAAACGGATAGCCTTGAAACAATACCTACCTCGCAAATCCGAGTTTGTCGATTGAAGGCATTCTGGGGATCTAAGCAATGAGCTTCATGTCACATATATTAATGATGCGGCCTGAATACTACGGGGGACCCCCCCCCCAAGAAAAAAAATTGCTGCGAATAATCTGGTGTCAGTGACCCTTCGGACCGGGGTCAGGGTCTGGATGGCAGGGAATTGGGAAGTGCCGGGGTTTGGGGGCTGGCTTGGGTGCAGGGTCTGCGGTTCTGCGCGAATGCGCGGTCGGGGTCTGGGGATCACAAAAAGCTGGAAACCAAAACCCCGATCACTCCAAGATAACTACCAAAACTAATGACTAAAAGCCCTTCATTCCGAACACTTTTGCCTCCAACCTGCACTGCCCTCCACAATCGACCATGTCTGAGCCCTTTTTTTCTACAGTAATAGTACAGTAGAAGTACAGTAGAAGTGCGGTAGTAATACAATGGTAGTACAGTAGTACAATAGTAGTGCAGTGGTCGTACGTCGTACAGTAGTAGTGCAGCAATAGGACCGTATTAGTACAGCAATAGTACGGTAGTCGTGCGAGCACACTCCCCCAATAAGCAAAGCATAAAGCCAGTGAGCACATTCCCCCAATAAGCAAGCATAAAGCCAGCTCCAGGCCCGGTCGTGGGTGCTTTAAGATTGACCATCAGCAGACAGTCATCCCCCAAAAACTCACCCCTGGCCAGCCAAAAAAAACGCATTAATTAAGCCACCCTCTTTTTTGGGTACCGGCTTGAATTGGCCGGAACAAAATGCATGAAATAGGCCCATATTCCAATTCGGGCCGCTACATTATCCGATGCAGTGCATCCGCTGCAATTTTAAACTCATCGTGCGGACTTGTGAAATCTTGTCAGCATGATGAAATCTTGAAATAACTTCGTTCGGCAACTTCGCAAGAAATAGTTCGTATGATAACTCTGAAATTTCGGTTTCAAAATGAAATTTAGTATACAGCTGTGAGTTTCGCATGAATACAGTGGAAGAATTCGTTGAAAACTGCTGAAAGGACGCAGAAAATGAAAGCACCGTATGACTTTGTTGAAAGACCTTGGTATGAATGCGTGGAAGGAACTCCGTATGAGAAACTTCAAGAATTTGTCGTCGGATCATGTCAAGTCCGAAAAATTCATACAAGTGCAGCCGTGCTAGGAATCCGCACCACCAATACACAAGCATTTGGAACGCAAGACCTAGAATCTTCCCTTTTACTCTACCCCAACCGTCCATATAATGTTGCTACAAAGCCCCCAAACCTCAACCCTAAACCCAAACCAGATATCCGAAGCCCGATTTTGAAGCACCGCATGGCCTGTTGGCTACCATTAGCATTGTACAAACGCTTGCAGAAAATCAGCTTACATGCAACTTAAAAGTGCGAATCCCTGGGTTTGCGGCCACCAACACAGTTCGATGCGAGAACTGCACTGTCTCGAAAGTTCATCGCGAAATGCAAAATTTATGCAGATAGGTGGTTGACGTCTCTTTTCGCCTGGTAGAGACCCTCTGTAGGACCTTACAGACTGATATGGGAGTTCCGAGAATTGAGGGCCCTAAATGGTAGGATCCTTAATATAAGGACCCCGCATTAAGGTACCCCCAAGTTTCGGAAACTCCCATATTAGCTAAGCAAAGCATAGTAGGAGCGACCCAAAACCTCCTAAGGCGCCTTGTCCCTACCGGATGTTTGACCCCAAAACCCTAAAATTTAGAATTCCTGGGTTTAGGGTTTAGGGGTTTAGGGGTTTGTAAACCTTGATGTCTGCTTCAGTCCGATTCCCACATCCAAAACAAACAGTCTCGAAACCCTGATCCTTGACTCCCAAACCCTGAAACCTCGATCTGCAAGTACGGCAGGGGCCCTCCCACCGCGTGTCGCTCCACTTCTGATGACGCTGAATCTGGAAACACTATCAAGTTTCTGATGGTATTCCTCAGGTTCCTTATCATGATTCAGCTGGACGGAGATCAGCCATCGGGGGTGTCAAGCTTAAGGACTGGAGTGGGTTCGGGATTTAGGACTTTAGTGGTCTAGGGCTTTGGGGGTTTTAGTTTCGGAATTCGGGTTTTGGGGTTTGCAGTCGAATGCACCAGTGTTTGACGGGGTTAGGGTTCAATTGCTGAGTAGTAGCATCTGCTGATGTGTGAGGCAGAAACCCCTCACGTCCTCCAGAGGACATTCTGACAACGAAGCTAAAATGCCCCAACTTTAGAAGACACAACCAGCATGCGACACGAGAAGCTAGACCACCGTCACTGTGGATCTGTGCATGCTAGTATAGGTCGCATCACGATTAGCTTGGGCGAAACACAAACACGCTCATCAAGAGAGCAAAACACGAAATGAGTAAAACATATGTATGTATGTATGTAGGTAGGTAGGTATGTAGATAGGAATGTCAGTATGTAAGTCTGTAAGTAAGTATGTATGTAGCCACGTAAGTTGCATGTCAGTGCTCATATGCGCACCACTGGCTAAGTCACATTGTATGCTGCTTAGCTACCTTTGGGATCGGCTAGCTGGTTAGTAAATGCACAAGAGAGCTGGCTTTATGCTAGATAAGACACCTATAACTTACCTCATCATGGCGAACTGAACCCAATGAAGCCTTCGGCAAGTTTCACAGCATCCCGGCACCGACGCGTGACTGCATGAAAAGATGCAAAGAGGTTTGAACTAACAGCATTAATAGACCTTTTTGGGTTTAGGGTTCCGAAGTTCAAAAGGTTTAGGGTGCGCCTTCATACGACACCTACCTGCACACGGCACACCCTGAACGTATCTGGAAAAACCCTAGACCCCAAACCCCTTAGCTCCCTCCAGGTCCCTCTCCCAATGTGGACTTCGCCCCTACAACCCGGACCCTGTTCTTAATGAGCCCCGAAACCTTGAACCCCTACATAAGCTTGGGGCATGCTGTCCAAGATTCCTTCCACTAAGCGTTCGTTCTTCGGATCACAATGCGCTGAAGCACCAACACTTTATGCTAAGGGTTCTTTCATCAGATCACAATACCCTTAAACATAGCAATGTGTTGGATTTTGTGTTGTGGCTCCAGGGGATTGAAGGCTTAGGGGTTGCAAGGTTAGGATTCCATGGGAGCCGTAGCAGCCATGTAATACCCTACAAGACCGTCAAAAGCCTAAACCCTGAACCCTAAAAAGCCCCTTTAAAGCGACGACACCCGAAAACCTTAACACCCATGTAAAGCTCTGCAATACCCCTAGGAAGCCCTCATAAACTGGGTTTTCAAGTAACCAGTGAGAAATAGATTTAGGGGTTACGGGTTTAGGGTTTAGAGTATAAAGTTGTATTCCATAATTCATAATGGTTCCATTAAGAAACAAGGTATGAAAGCACGGCAATAAAAACGCCCCTCGCAGCCCAACAAAATCAAAAAATCCCAAGACCGAGACCTTGGGAACTTGATGGCCACTGCCGCGCCGCAGAGGGTTCCCTGCTCCACTTTCAGGATCGCGTCGTTGGGGTGTTTAGGGTTTAGGGTTTAGTTTTTTTTTGTTGAGCGCCTCTTTTCCAGCTCGATTAAAAGGGTTCAGGGTTTACGGTTTAGTGGGGGTTGGAGTTCAGAGTTACGGGTCTATGGTTGAGTGTTCGGGCTTAGGGTTCCAAGGTTGGGGGAGGGTTTAAACAACGGGCGCGTAAGGGTTTCGGAGAATCTTCAGGAAGCTTCGTATGTAGGGGGGGCCCACGGGTCCCATCAGAGGCTTTTCTAGGGCTGTTAAGGATTCTACAAGGGATCCACAAGCGTAGTTGTCAAAAATTCAGGTCTTACCCTAAATACTAGGTGCCGTGTTATGATAAGGACCCAGAAAAGGGACCATGATTTTGACAACCACCCACACGGGTTGAAGGGATGACATATCGGGCTCTATACAGTAGAAGCCAGAAAGTTGGAACATCATTGTCCTCATGCCCTTAAGGTAAAGTATAAGGGATCCTAGCACTAATCCTCCTAAAGCCATGTTCCAACTTTCTGGCTTCTACTATAGGGTCTAGCAGTTGTCTGCGGCCTGACCCTTCGATGGTCTATAGGCCGAGTTGAGGGTTGGGTTGCTTAGGGTTGGGGCGCTTTGGGGCAGTTTGGGCCTAAGGCTACGACCGGCAGGCTCCAGGATTTCTTCATAAAAAAGCTGTATACGGAAGGTTAGGGTTCCTGGAGGTTCACGGGTAGCTATAAGTGGGGTTATAAGTCCCCGAATAATGGCTATCACTTATAGTTACCTTACTTATAACCCCACTTATAACTCCCCATGAACCTCCAAGTTTGAGGAGTGGCTTGAATCGTTCGATGTCTTAGCAGACCATAGAAACTTTTACTCCACATCGTAAGCCATTGCTGCTTTACTCCTTTCTGAACACTTGACCTGCTGACTGCATTCATGGGATATACTTGGAGTCTTATATACGAATCAGCAGCCTGCTGCTGCTATTGTTGCTCTTACAGGTACTCATGGGAAGGAGGAAAGCTGCAGGTGTGGGGTGCACAGGCTTTTGCCATGAAAGGCCTCAAAAGAAGTTCCGTGTTATGAGGCCTGCAGGCTTACAAACAGCTTCAAGAATACTTATCGGGTTCGTCGGCTTTTGCACGCTTCGACTGCTTTCGCGTAATTGAACGGAAACGCGCTGTAGATCATGTATCTAAACCCGAAGCTCTCTACAAGAATGGCTGCCGATGATTCTCAAGTACGTTTCCGACAGGAGTGCTCCTGAAAGAACCCCCAAAGAGTCCAAAGTACCGATATAGTAGAATGTAGGGTTTGTATACCTCTAAGACCAGGTTATGCTATTTTGGGACATATATCCTATTTGGCAAAATAGGATATATGTCCCAAAATAGCCTAACCTGGTCTTAGAGGTATTGGGAACTACTATTATTATTTGGGGAAGTATTCCCCATAACGGTACATAGGACCCTTTGGGGCCGACAATCCCTGAACCGCGAGGCGTTCTTCACCGACGCCTGACCTTAACGTCTCCTGGCCACTAAACTCTGAAGCCGACACCGAAACCCTCTATATATATATATATATATATATAATTATCGATTATACTAGTTTGGGAATTATAGTAGTATAATTACCTATACTATTTTGGGAATAATAATAATACTATTATAAGCCCTTAATCTTAAACTTCCTTTTCCCTGAATACCCACGTCGGCCTCACAGACGATGCCGAAGCCTCCAGAACCCAAGACAGTAGTTGCGTGCAACCTCAGCTTTCGTGACAGGGTTTAGGGTAATTATCGGGTTACGTTTACGGTTTAGGGTTTAGGCTTATGGGGGCTGTTTTTGGTTTAGAGTCCATAAGTTAAAGAATAAGCTTGGAGGAAGTTTGACGAAACAGCCTGCTCAGTCGCAATTCTACTCCGCAAGCAAATGAGCCTGTTACATATCTGAAGGACATCACAACAGGTCTGTATGGGCTTGTTGTCACAATGGTCAAACCGGTACATTACCTTTCAACTGGTCTCGCTGTGTTCGCACTGACAGATTCTGGTGGAGTCGATCGCATGCGCCACCACAACTGCGTAGCGTGGTCCCTTCGGCATTTCGCAAAAACGCCGCTTAAAGCAAGCCGCGCAATGCCCGATCTCATGCCTGACACCCTATACTCCCAAAGGGTCCAAAGTATCGATATAGTAGAATGCAGGGTTTCTATATGAGGCATTACAATTATGATTTGGGGAAGTCTTCCCCATAACAGTACATAGGACCCTTTGGGATACTATACCACGGAAACTAAAGGTGTCCCAGCAACTGAACGTGGTCCGCATCAATGAGCCAATGCTCCTTGCGACCCAGGTCCTCAGCGAGAACCCCCTGCAACTCAAAGAAATACCCCTTCCTAGACCCTCCATCTACCCTCTATTAGACCCTAAATGCCCCCTATTTGGGACCATATACCCCTATTTGAGGGTACAAGGAGGGTCCTGGTTCTTTTCCATTGACAACTATTACTATCCTGCAAGGTACTATACTCTACTCGACTCTACTGTATTGTACTATACTCTACTGTACTGTACGGAAATGTCCTGTACTGTGCTGTCCTGTACTATACTATACTACACCATACTGTACTCCACTATCGCCTATGTAACGAATGGGGAGCCAGTTTCGTCGGTTGCGTCGTAACCCACCGGCAATGTCTGACTGGAGGGACCCCTTGAGGAGTCTACAAGCTGGTTCCGGTTTCGAGTTTCACAGGATTCATGGGGCTCCTGTGGGTGTTTTGACGCTCTCTTGCGAAGGCTTACTGGATTTTGTGAAGGGGTTGCCGTTCAACTCCTTATTATTTCAGGACTTCAGACCTCCGATTGATGCATCCCTCGGTGCCTTCAGGGCCGACGACGACAGCTGTGGGATCCCTGTCATAACACTTCATGTCCCTTCGGCAAGTTGGTAATCAGGCGTCTCTACTGCGTATCTAGGTTGGTAGCCTCCTGTCGTAATACTCTGATAGTGACCGTTCTCTTATTATGCATCAGTTATCGCAGAGCACCCCACCAAAAGAAAAAGTGTAAACAAAATACGACTGGGGGACCTGGCTACAGGGTTCTAGCGTCTACGATGAGGATCTCAGAGGCTTGGGTCCGCTGGGTGCAGGATATCAGTCCCTTAGGGTTTAGTTTAGGGTTTAGGGTTTAGGGTTTAGGGGTCCCTTGGGCTTTGTAACCGTTGGTGTTGGTGGGGAGATTTGCTGAAAGATGGCCTAATCCCGGTGCATTGCATAATCAAAATGAGGTTTTGGTGTAAAGTATAGTGAAGTGTAGTACATCGTAGTATAGTCTAGTATGCTTGTTTTCACCCTGTAGAACCACATGACTTTGTATGACCCTTACAAAAAAGCGCAAACAAACTCATGTAGGCCTTAGCCCTGAATCCTAACCCCACGCCCTCATATCCGAGCATCGACCAAGGTCTTCAGGCCTTGCATTCTGAAGCTTGGGCTTACGATTTCGGGTCTGAGACCGTAGGGTTTAGTTGTGAATACAAAGCTTGCGGGGCTCGGGTTTAAGCTTCGAGGCTCAGGTCTTAGAAGTGTAAGCATGACATTGGTGATGGTGCTGGTGCTCGTGGCACCATGGTGCCGTTAGGAATCAGCTTACATGGTCTGTAAGCAGCTAGTACGCATAATCCAGTGAAGTCCCTGCGCCTCATGTAAGCACCTCCTATTACGGTGCGGTTGCGAGATCTCTTAGATCCCTTTTGGCAGCAAGCCAATCTCAAGCCGGGGAAGGGAAAATGCTGCCAGGAGCTACATAGGAGGTGCTTTTAAAGCCTCTGAAGAATGTTAGTAGGTAAGATCCTCTTAAGCCCAATAAGAGCAAATATAAAAAAATGTCCCAAAGCCCTACCTAGCTACATTGAAGGGTAGGGATCGAGTGCTGGTTGGATGAAATGGGAGTTTCCGAAAATAGGGGTACCTTTAAAGGGATCCTATAAGGGCTCCTCAAAGGGATCTATAAGGGTGCCACAAAGGGTTTAAGGTTTAGAGTTTCCGAAAGTTAGGGGTACCTTATTTTGGGATCCTGATAATAAGGATCCTACTATTTAGGGTATTATATTCGGGTCCCCTCTTTTCGGAAACTCCCAATTAGCTGATGGGCCGGCTCAAAAACAAAAAGGGACATGGGCACACCAACAATGCGAAAGAAAGGGTCTAGGACAGTTGTCCGTATGTTGCAGCTGCGCCACCGGTGTGGCTGATCTCCACGTCACCGAAGAGCACACCTCCCACGTGTGACGTTGCGATTGCAGCCAGCATTTTTCAAAGCCGCGTCACAGGTCCCGCTGCTGCTACTGTTGCAGTTGGTGCATGTTGCAATCCCACCTAAACCCTAAACCTTATCAACCCTAAACCCCCCCCCCCCCCCCCCCCCCCCCCCCCCGCCATCTCCCTACGTAGTCCCGTGTACCCTCACCTCCGAGCCCGCTGAGAAGCCCCAGGACCTTGAACTTTATGCTCTATGATGGGAGGCCAAAATAGAGGTTGGGGTAGGGATTCCTTAATATGAACCCTAGTATGGGAACCCTAATCCCCACTAAACCCCCATAGGCCAAAACCCCATTTGGCCTCCTATGACTCCACCTTAACCTACCAGAACCTACTTTTGCAGGGTCCCTATAATCCCATATTAGAGTTTATAGTAAGAACCTACAAAAAATATGGTTTAGTAGGTGTAGGTAACCTCCTACTCCAAAGCCCCCCCAAATCCACTAGAGCCGAGGCGCCCGTCGCCGTGGTCGCCGTGCTTTCCCGGCGAGCCGTATCCAAGATCTCCTCGGAAATTAGCTCCGAGTAGTCCTTCGGATACCTGGTCCAGGGGTTCAGGGCTTAGGGTTTAGGGTTTAGGGTTTAGGGGTTTAGGGTTTAGGGTTTGACGGCTTTAACGGCTGATGTCTAAAGGAATATAGGGGCCTTAAGAAGTAGAAGAGGTGAAGAGGGTTTGAGGGTCTATACTACTGTAGCTATAATCAGGAACCCCCCCGAAATAGTATGGGTAATTCCTAAGGCCCCTATATTGCAGTACGGGGCTTCGGGGGGGGGGGCTTCGATTCGGGGCTTGGGACTTGATGTTCAAGGGTTTTCTGGTGCGGATTTACGCTTCAAGGCTTAAGGTATCGGGTTTGCGGCATAGTGCAGTTCGGGCGCAGGGCTTTGGGCTAAGGCGAGACTCCGTGCATCCATCAGATTCAGGTTTGAGGCTTGAGGGTTGGGGCTTAGTGGCATCGTACGGCTATGATAGGGTTCGGCACTTGCTTTTTGTGGTGTGGGCTTGCTTTTTTCTGCAGGCTTAGGGGCTAAGGGTTTTGAAAAATTCACGTCTTATCCTAATCTCTGAAGCCCTACCAAGTATAACGTCCCGAAGTGAATGCCACGAGCCCCGCGGTAAGGCGCTGAGCCTTGAAACCCTTGCCAAGGCCGACACCCCAGACCTTGGAACCCAAAGCCTCTCATTTAGCTTACTTGGAGGGTCGGGGGACTTAGTAAGTAGGTAGTATGTAGACTTATAAGTACCCTAAAAGGGACCCTAATTGGGGTTATGGTACTTATAAGTCCCTAAAATAACCAGTTACTAAGTCCCCCGACCCTCCAAGTAGCGTTGGTTAGTAGGGAATGGAGGAATGGGTATAATTATAACTACTCTTACTACCATTCTTCCATTCCCTACTAACCAACGGTAAGTTAGGGGCCGTAGTTTGTAGTTAGAAAAGGGAAAAGTATGTGTAAAGCCCTGAGAAAAGACCAAGGGTTCTAAATCTTCAGCGAAATCCTGAACCCCACACCCCGTTTTATGCGCCCTAAACCCAAAACCCTCCCATTTATGGCAGATTCCTTACCCAAAGGGTCCTATGTACTATTTTGGGGAATACTTCCCCAAATCATAATAGTAGTTCCTAATGTAGAAAACCTACATTCTACTATATCGGTACTTTGGACCCTTTGGGTTAGTATAGGACCCTAAATAGTAGGACCCTTATTATAAGGACCCCAAGATAAGGTACCCCCTAATTAGCTTTCGGAAACTCCCGTTCATGGCACATTCCTCATCTTAACCTTGATATCGAAAAAATCATCGTCTCCACTCTAAAAACAAAGCCCCCGGCTTTCATAGAGTCAGGTTTATACTCTCGAAAGGTCCGGCGCCGCGGGCCTGTAAACTATGGGCAGCTGCTCAGAGGGTGGCGGCGGACTGGGAGCTGCCGATGGCGTCTCCGCAGCCTTCGTTGGCTAAGAGCTGAATTAGTGCGGAGGGGGGGGGGGTTCGGGTGTAGGGTTTAGGGTTTAGGGGTGGCTAACTAATCTATAATGGGCTTTTGCAAGGATGATCTGTGAGGTTCTACTAGGGAGCTTTCTAGATCAGTTTGGGCTTAAGGATTATAGGGTTTGGGGTGCGGGGTTTACGATTTGTGATTTGGGACTTAGGTCCCGAACCTTCAGCAATTGATGGGGTCTCGCATGTCTCCATTAAGGCTTCTTGACAGTCTTCTTGGTCATAAAACTGCAATGAGGTCGCTTACTACTAGTAGAGCTATTGCCAAGATATTCGTCTTAAACATAGTAGAGCTATTGCCAAGATATTCGTCTTAAACATAGCAGCCATACAGTAATAGTCAATACGCAGAATACTAATCACTTTTAGGCGCTGTGGACATAATTTATTATTGCTACAATCGTTGTTGCAGGGTCTAGAGAGGTTGTGCTGCCACCGCGGATATGCTCGCTGCTACGTCAATGCCTTAGTGATGAAACTAAGTTTGGCAGACATGCCAGTACAGTTATGATATATTCGAACTCTAAGGGGTCATATTGGGCAATTACTCAGGCTTCTTTTTTGCAAAACCCTTCGAGCAACCCTTCAAAGAACTCATTGGGCAAATAGTCCGGCTCCCGGTCTTTGCTCGACTGGCGCCGCCGGAGCTTTCGCTGGCCGTGCTCTGCAGTGCCAGGCGCAGACAGAGATTCAAGGGTTTGGGTTTGGAGTTTCAGGGTTTGCGGTGCAAGGGCTCAGCAAGTTTCTGTGTATGTATATATCGTGTGTAAATAAAGCACATGTGTATATATATATATATATATATATATAGTGCTTATATATGTATATATGTGTGTGTTTCAGGGCACTATTAAGGAAGGCTGTGGAAACTTTCAATCTTCAACCCCTCCCGGTTGCTCGGTAAGGTCGAGAAAAGATCCTCAAAGCGATCCTGATGGGAGGCCAGGGGAAGGGATTCCTTAATATGAGCCCTATTATCCCTAAGGGTCCAAGTGCCCAAATAGTAGGGTTTCAAGATCCCAAAACCATTCAGAGTATGGATTTTGGGACCAACCCTACTATTTGGGGACTTGGACCCTCTGGGTATGGGAACCCTGATCCCTATACTAACATAGGCTAAAACCCCTTTTGGCCTCCTATGAGGTCCTGAAAAGAAGTCTCCGGCGGCCTCCAACCGAGCTGCCAGCAGGAAGCTGCCTCCGGAGGGCCTGGGCTTCTCACTTCGTTCGAACTCTGGGGGTGGTTTCTCTTAAGGGCACTGTAACTAATTCTAGAAAATTGTTGAAACCTTATAACTAATTATAGCAACTTAACTAATTATAGAAAGTTATTGAACCCAAACTAATTATAGTAAATGATTGAACCCTAACGAATTATAGTAAACTTAAGGGGCACCCCAACCCAAGGCTTGCAGGGACCTTGTTGTTGGGTCCTTAAAGGATCCAGGGCCCCAGCTATAAGGTCCTTGGAAGCATAGGGTAACCATAGTAAATTATTGAACCATTATACATGATACTAGGGGATTTTAGAATACTACTACTAATAGGCAGCTGCTGTTTGGACCCAGAAGCTCAGCTAAATACTCCGTCGCCCCGGCATCCGGCATCCGCACTATCAGAAGATGCGCGTTCATTTCCTGCCAAGCTGCGCGAAGGATCAGGGTGCTTATGCCGTGAGTGTTTTGAGGTTTGTGAAATTTACACGCAGGAAATGGGGACTTAGTATTAGTATAAGTTACCACAAGTAGGGCCAGTAGGATTGCAACTAATTATAGGTCTAACCTACCTATGTACTGTCTCTCCTGCAGTGGACACCAGCATTTCAGGCTCGTCTCATTCTCCAGGTAATCACCCATGAAGCACAAGCCCCCCAAGTACTGACCCGCACAATACAAGCAAAGTCCTCAGCCCCAGTACCATAATGTTAAATCCGTCGGACCCTTAAAAAGGATAGAGATGACACTCTAAACCCTAAACTGGATTTTGTTGGACCCTGCGGTAGTTTAGGTTTCGGCTATTCAGAGCCTCGGCTGTCACACCACACAAAACCCTGGAAGCCCTAAACTGCCCGCAACCCTCGAACCTAAATCATCGCACAACTCTCACTGACTGCGACTGTGCTTTATGGTTTAGAGTTCTAGGGTGTTAAATCACGTCATGCATGAATTCCTGATTTTGTTTACCCCGTTCGTCAGAGCTAGCCGCGACCTATTATCTGAACTGCCCCTTTCCAGAATTACGTGGAGGTAATAAGCGGGATTACAAGTAGCATTTACAAGTAGCGTAAAAGTAACTAGAGCAACTTTTTGCCATATTAGGGGACTTATAGCCCAAAAAATAACTACCAACGAACCTCCAAGTAGAGGGCTCCCGGTCTCCGCTCGACACTCCCGAACGCCTATGCCCGATAGCAAACGCTGCGCAGCAACTTCTCTTCGTTCTGGGGATTTAGGGTATTTTGTGGCTTTGGGTTTACCCATACGCTCCATAGTTCCGGGTTTACCCATAGGCTCCATAGTAGTTCCTTTTTGGGGCTTCATGTTTAGAATCCTATAGGTACTCCCAAGAAGGAGCCCTTTATTGAGCCTACGGGTAGGGACTGCTGAGGGCCAGACTTCTTTCTCCCAAAGGGTCCAAAGTACCGATATGGTAGAATGTAGGATTTCTATATTAGGAATTACTATTATGATTTGGGGAAGTCTTCCCCATAACAGTACATAGGACCCTTTGGGTCTAGACCTCCTAGCAAAAATCCTGTCGCCTGCGTCTGCACTCCACTCAGAAGCACGAAACCCCAAAGCCTAACCACCCAGACCTTCCAAAATGCCTTAATTAAGGAATATACCTTAAATGATATTGGGGATCCGATTGTAATTTAAGGTATATTCCTTATTTAAAGGATTTTGGAAGGTCTGGGCACAAGGGTCCAAATAATCAGGTACTCGGCTTTAGGATAGCAGTTATGTAGGTTAGGGATTTTGGAGAGCACATGCTTATTGGGTACTTGGACCCTTGGGGCAATTAATACTCTGCCCAAATATTACAGCTAACCCAAAGCAAAACCCTCAAATATCGTGCACATTCACCACCCAAACATCGAAACCCTGAACACCTAAACCCAACCGCAAACAGTATCCCTCAACAGCTGGAATTCCTGAGTGAACATGACCCCACGAAATCCAACTTGCCCGGTATTGTAGGGCCACTGACGGTTATAAACCTTCGAGATTTAGGGATTTTCAGTCCCGTAATGGAAAGTAAAAGGTTACCTACTCTCGTACTAAGAAGCGGTTCAAATAACTGAACCCGATAAGTCCCATATAAACCCCAAACCTTTTCAAGCCCCGACATAAACCCTAAACCCCTATGTAAACCCCTCTGTAGACCCGAAGAAACCCCCTTCTTAGTTGCTGAGTTCATAAGCCCCAAAAGGTGTACGCTTTCAGTTGTACAGTGGGTAATATTATCCCAAAAAGCGTAAAGTGTATCCACTCAGCTACTAAGCCTGATAGGACCCCTTTAGGGAACCCTTTCAAAAAGGATAGAACCCCTTAGGGTACCCACTTAGCTACTAAGCCTGTCACCCCTCCCTCACCCCTTGCCGGCACCTTCGATCCCGCCCCTCGGAGCCGGGTCGAAAGCAGGACAGGCACCAGCTCGTCCGCCGTGGCCAAGGTCCTTTTGAAGTTTTGGGGTTTAGGGTTTTGCGTTTAGGGTTCAGTTAGGGGATACCTTAACCCCGAAAAACCTACATACCTTTTTAAGGGCTTATACGAGGAAATCATAAAAAGGAACCCTAAAAAGGTAGGCTATTCCGGGTTAAGGTAAGGCTTACGGTTTAGGGTTGCAGGCTTGGGGCCCAGGACCCTCGAATCAATGCTGTTATGCCTAAGGCTCCATGTACCCGTATAGTATATACTTAGGCCTTAAAGGGGTTCGTATATGGGTACTTGAGGGTATAGGTATATACTATATGGCTACATAGAGCCTTTGGGTATGCTTTATTGTTGTTGAGGGGGGGCGGGTCTCGAGTCTTTTGCCACTTTGAAGGGCTTTTGTTGGGGGGGGGGGGGGTTGGGTCTTTGCAGCACAAGGCTTCAGGCTTTGAGCTTTCGCTGAGGCTGTAGGGCTACTTCGGGCGCAGAACTTGAAGTTAAAATTGTTGCTGGCTGTGGACCTTCATCTTCGTGGCTTGGATGTTGGACTTAATCCAAGGGTAAAAGGAGGGACCCTTAATAAGGACCCCAGGTATATACCCTTAATATAGCCATTATATAGCCCATTATAGGATAGGGGTCCCCATTAAGGGTCCCTCCTTTTCCCCTTTGACTTAAGGTTTCTTTGAGTTTGGGACTGAGGGCTTCTCAGCTCTAGGCAGGTCTCAAACGTGTGCTTTCTGGCGGAGTTCACGAGATTTCGGGCAGTTTTGGGCTTCTGACTCAGGGATTATGGCTTTGTGTTTCTGATGTGGTGCTTCGTGCTTTACGGCTTTGGGGGTTTGGGGGCTTAGGGAATGGCAGGGGCTTCGAGTTTAGTGCTTTCGGCTTCAAGGTATTCTGCCATGGCTTTTCGCATTCTGGGATGCTTCGGCCCTACATGCCGCCCCGCGTTGAGGATTGGGGGTGCAACTCCATTCTCAAGTTGGGGTCCAGTTTCCTATTTAGGGTCTAATGCTAGGCACCCATACTTTGTTTCAGGGGTCACACCTGGAGGGAGGTGGGTTTCAGCATTTAAGGAATGCTAGGTACCGATTTGAGCATGTTGCTCCTAAGCCTGCCTGGCTCGCGACACACATGACTTGAATTGGGATGTGGCAAACAACGCCCGAACCAGTAAAGGCTCAGGGTTTAGGGCTCAGGGTTCCTTGCAACTCTGCGGGATGAGAACGAAGCCCATGCCCGACTTGAAAACATGAGACTGCCCGACTGTCTTAAGCATGGAGTCCTCTGGAAGTCGTCGCGGTAGTACTCGCCTTAGACCATCACAGTTCCTGTCTGCTATACTCCGATACAGTGTGTCATGAGAGCTTGAAAACGAGTGACCATACTGTCCTACTGCTGCTGCTGCTGCGACAACGACGACCACGTTGAGATCTCTGAATCTATTCTTGCTGTTTGCGATACGATTAAGTCCAAAGCCAGTCCCGGAATCCTGCTTGCCTATGTCGTAAACATCTGAACTCAAAGACATGGTCATATGTTTCAGAGCTTCGTTGTGGGATTTCTAGGGTTTCTGGATGTAAATTCGAGGGTGGGAACGCAAACAAACACTACTGAGCCGTGCCACAAACGACATCCTCCAGCTCGGTGCCATCAGAGACATCTTGGCCAAGAGCCTCCAGGATTTGATGTTCGGGGTTTGGGGTCATTTTTATTCCGACTGAACCCTCACCCCAAGGGTTCAGAGTGTTGGATTTAGTGAGTCATCTCTATCTGCAAAGGGCCCAAGGGTCGTAAGTACCTGGTGTCAGTGCCTGGTCATGTGCCTGGGACCCTAGGGCGAGCTACTTGTTATGGGTTGTCAGAAGTGGAGTTATAACTAGGGTAACTGTTAGGTATACTTACAACATATATAATCCATGTTGAGGGACATATAACGACATGAATCACGACCCATGAACATAAAGAACAGCACTCATAATTCAAGCGAGACTAGGGGATTACAGCCTAAAGGACTAGATGTGCAATCTCTTTCAGCCCCAAGAAAACCTACCCAAAGCGAAGCCCAATCTCTAAAACCTGTCTAAACCTTAAACCAAACCCCCCTAAAACCGTAAACTCTAAATCTATACCGTCAACCCTTAACCTAAACCCTCAACCGTAACCCCTAAACCCCCCAAAAAAACTTACAGCCCCGAACCCCTGACTCCTCCTATCCCCACCCCCCTCTCCCCTCCCGAAAAACCCGAATCCATTATATACGGGCCTCAAAAATTAGAATAGGGCTTTGGGGGCCTAGTATACTATAATTATAATAAGGAACCCAGAATATTATAGGTAGTTGTTTAGGCCCCTATGTTAAACCTGTCAGTGACCGTTCGACGGGCAGGTCTCAGGGTCTGGAGGGCTTAGGGTTTCGGGTATGTCGCCAGGGTTTGTGGGTGCAGCATTGAGTGCAGGGTTTAGGGTATACTGGAGCTTTGCGTTTAAGCTTTCGGAGATTTAGGGCTTGAGGTGTTGAGACAGTGCTCGGCTCTGTCAAGGGAAGATGTCTCCATGCTTTAGAAGGTTTTGTAAGCTTTCTGAGCCAAGAACACTGCTAAACTCTAAACTCTTGCCAAGCAGTATGTATCACCGAAGTGACCCCTTTAAGAAGCGCTGATGAAGGCCTTATAGACACCTCAACCCAAGATCCCGGACCTGACCGCAAGTCCTAGCTTGAACTCCAGGTTTTTGAGGCGTATAGGGTTTAGGGTAGGGGTTCAGGGTATAGATTGCTTCGGGTAGGGCACAGAGTATGGGCGTTAATTGCAGGGTTTCTGCATTTATCGTGTTGGGGGGTGAGGGGCTTCATAGCCTTCAGGCTCGAGGATATAGCAACCCTAATCCCTAAGCCTTAACTCCCTTAAACCTGGACCTGAAGCCTACTTGGAATGGCAGGGAACTTAGTAAGTAGGTTATAAGTAGGGTTATAATTGGGGTAACTCCATTTAGGGTACATATAACTCTACTTATAACCTACTTACTAAGTCCCCTGCCCTTCCAAGTATATGAGGTTTAGGAAAAACTGAGTTTTAGGAGAGCCCCCGTCCTTTTCCAAAGATTCTGCACCGCGCGCAATCTGTGCAGGGGACTTCCGTGTCTCGGAGACCACCCTGGGCATTGATGATTTCGGGCATCTGGGGGGTTTCTGGTTTTGGGGTTAAGGGGTTGAGGCTTTAATTAACTGGGAGTTTGGGGTTTAGGTTGGGGTTGAGGGCTTTAGGGGTTTAAGGCGTCAGGTTTGGAGTTTTAGAGCTTTGGTTGTAGGAATGGTTTTCGTGAATATGTTTCTCGTCGGAATGTAGGTGTAGCTGTTGTCGCCGATTCTGGAGAAGATGGTGATATGATGGTAGCGGCGGTGCTGGTGGAAGCGGTAGTTGCGGGGGGGTGGGGGTGGGGGTTGGGGGTGCTGGTGGTGGCGGAGTGTTGTTGTTGTTGTTGTTGGTGGTGGGGGTGATGGGGGTGATGGGGGTGGTGGTGCTGCTATTGGTGGTGGTGCTTGTTGCAACCTCTCACGACGAGGCCATATTCTGGGTGTTGCCTTTATTCTTCGTCCGGCCATCGCTGTAGATAAATAAATTTGAGCTGCTAGGTTGGCTATCCAAACTGCTCTTCATGATACTGCTGCAACGACGACGGCTGTACGGTAGTTGCTGTGCTGTTGACCATGCAGACTATCATTCGATATTCTTGCTACTGTTACTAGTGTCGTTGTCGGGGATGATGGTTGTTGGTGGTGCTTCCTGCTGCAGCTGCTGCTGGTGCTGCTGCTGGCGCTGAGGCTACTCGTGGTGGTCGTTACTGTCGCTGTTGTGGTCGTGGCCATACTTTGGTTTCAGTACCAAGCCGCAAAACAGGGTCGGAGGTATGTTAACGTGTAAGCATAGCCGGACTACAGGGCCGGCCACTGTTGAGTACTGATCAGCCGCAGATTGCGGACTCAGAAGCACATTGCTAAACCCTAAACCCTTCCATGTATGTGAAAAAAGCCCGGGCTCGTCTGCCGGTCCAAGGGGCATATCGAAGTCGCATACCATGCAAATCCTGGGTTGAGGATTTAAGAATTGAAGCTGAGGGATGCGGAGGGGTTGGCGTTTTAACCCTGAATCTTGCCGTCGACAACAGTGAACCCGAAACCCAAAACCCAAAACCCTAAAAACCCTAAAAGCCCTAAACCCTAAACCCTTAACCCAAAGTCACTAAGCCCAATATGATCCTCGATCTTCATAACTGGTGAGTCCGGATCCTTTTTCGTAGACGCTCCGTGGCTGGTGGCTCTGACAGGGCCCAAGCAGCAGACGCGAGAAGGTGAGCTGTAGGGTTGCGCTCTTGCGTGCTATGCGGCCGGAGGCAGAAAGGGCAGTTTCTCTAAAGCAGAGCATCGACAAATCTAAGCTCAACACCCTGACCCCCTCCACGCCTTACCACCGAAACCCAGGAGCCCGCAGGTCGTTGTCAAAAACTCATTGTACCTGAAACTTTACGCGCAATATCTCAAACCTACCTGCAACCTCGCAGGCCGCGACCATGAGCCTTTAACGATAGCGTAGCTGCGTCGAACTCTACCAGGTAACTTACTTTCACCCACAGGTAAGACCTACTTGAAGGTTAAGCTGGGATATGAGTCCCCTTAATATGGGTTATAACTCTAATTACCTTACTTATAACCCCACTTATAACCCCCCATGAACCTGCAAGTAGGCCCTAAACCCTGTACCCCTTTATAGAATCCCTATAGATCCCTTTAACGGGACCCTTAAAGGAACCCTTATAACCCTAAACCCTTAAACCCAAACCCTGAACCCTAAACCCCTAAACCCTAAATCCCTAAACCCTAAACCCCTAAACCCTAAATCCCTAAACCCGAAACCGACATGGGTTTGTCCCAAGCTGCAGCTTGGAATAGGCCTCCGCTTCGCCCAGCGCTGCTCTTTCTGCCTGGGTTGACAAAGGGTCCAACAAACAATCTATACGGTTGATGATATAAATCCTGCATCACCTTAAGAGACCTAAGGTATGGGATTTATGGTATATTCCTCGGGTAATGCAGGATTTATATGAATCATCAACCGTAGCAGCATGTAGGGTTTCTATATTCAGAATTACTAGTCTGATTTGGGGGAAGTCTTCCCCATAACAGTACATAGGACCCTTTGGGTGAGAGCTCTTCATAGGATCTGACGTGGCGAGAGCAGTTCGAAAAGGATACCCTAAACCCCTAAACCTCAAACCCCTAAACCCCTAAACCCTAGCTGAGAAGGTTTGGGAGTTCGCGTTGACGGGTTTCGGGCCCGAGCCGTGGGGTCTGTATGGTTAAGCTGTTTCGGGATTTTTGGGTCGGAGTTGACGGTTTACAAGGTTATAAAGTCTAAGATGTAATTCAGGGATCAAGGTATCTCATAAGCAAGACCTGGATACCAAACCTGGGGATCCAGAAACCTCTTGCTTTAACGGTTTTGTATATATATATATATATGTATGTATGTCCTATAACAGAATGGTCATAACCCCTCCAAAGCAGAAAGAACCTCGAAAACCGACATGATGCAGGGTTTCCTTCACGTGTCTCGCCATGATAGAACACACCGAAAGACACACTCACCATTGTTCTAAAAGCGGTCTATCAGACTCACCAAATCCCTAATGATATGAACCCTACCTCACCCCGCTACTTCATGATTCACACAAGGATTCCAGGATCATGCCACTGCCTCAAACCATGACCCTAAGCTCAATCCATACCCCAGCCCTTACTCACAGAAGCTTGCAGTAAACCTACATCTAAGGCCAAAGTAAATGGAGGGGCCTTAATACTTGTTTGGGCTCCCCTGGTTATACGAGTAATAAGGAACCCTACAGGATGATATTGATACTTTATTGAGGCTACAGTCAGCCTGGGGGGAAACTCTGACTTACAGAATCGAAGTCTTCTGCCAGGTCGCGAGATACAGATCCACGAGGAGCCAGTTGAAATGCAAGGCAGCTATGAAGCCTGAGCCCGGAGACAGCGGCTCTTGTCTGCTTTATCCGTCTGATCGTACTCCGCTTATAGAGCGTAGGATGGAGAGTGTTGGGTCCTTTGAACCAACCACTTTCATAAAAGCCCGTCATTTCGTCAGCAGCTGGGAGCCACCCATCAACTCACGACTTACAAGAACCCCGGCAAGACCAGGTTGAACTCTTGGTGGTTCGACCATATGGGACTTTCCGCAAACAGGGGACCCTAATATAGAACCCTAAATAGTAGGATCCTTATTATAAGGACCCCAAAATAAGGTACCCCTAATTTTCGGCAACTCCCGTATCTGGTCCAGAGAACTATCCGGAGTTTGTCGATTGCAGGACATGCAGCAGTACCATAAACTTCCGGACTGGAACTATGATCTGCCCGTTCAGTGTCATTGTAGTGCTTTTCGAGGTGCCTTTTTTACGGCTGGACCACGAGCAAGGGAGCTAAGAAGATACATCACCGAATGTGGCACCACCTGGAACATACCCTTTACCCGTCAGACCAATACACCCGTGAAGCAGCATCAAGACGCCAAGGGTTAAGCACTAAGACAATCTGTGAAACCCTCCAACACCTTGCACAGGTTGTCGACTTGAACAGACAACAAAATTGCTATAGTTAGGTGTCTATAGCGCTTGGAAAACACACACACAGACAGACACAGACACAGACACAGACACAGACACAGACAGAGACACAGACACACACACACACACACAGAGACACACACACACACGCACACACACACACACACACACACACACACAGACACACACACACACACAGACACACACACACACACACACAAAGAGACACACACACACACAGACACACACGCACACACAGACACACACAAACAGACACACACATATATGTATATATATATATATACACACACACGAACATCCCAGACCGGGACGTAGTATAAAACCCTAAACCCGAAAGTCACGGCCCTGAACGATGAACCAACAAGGTGCCTGCAAGTGCGAAGAAAGCAAACACGAGCAGCTCGTCCACGGGCCCAGGACCATCGAAGGCCTCAGACCAGGCCAAATCTACGGGAGCAAAACGGGTTGAGCCGTGGACTCGGGCATAGCCGCATATCTTGACGAAAGGCGTTAGGCTGTAAAGGGTTCATTCATTAGCTGCCTAGGATTTTAGGCGTCGATGGGGATTATGTCCAGTAAACCCCACAAAGTTGGAAACCGGATTTAGGCCAACTAGTGCTGGGATTCCCTATACATTACTCTTCAGGATTGAGGCTATTGGGTTTGCAACTTTGGGGCTTCTATTGTACGACTAGGTCTTAGGGTTTACGAGGTAACAGGGTTGCAGGACTCTCGACTGCTGTGGGGTAGGCCGGAGCGGGCTTAGCCTCAGTTTATGGAGTGAAACTAGGTTTGGGCATGTTATTGTGGCAGCAGCAATGGCGCCACATCAAGCAAGGGCGAAAGTAGCCCAAGAACAATGCTGCAGGAAACGCGAGCACTGCAACCCCGGAGTGAACTCAGAAAAAAAAACCGACGAAGGGTGTTGTGCCCAATCCAGCAAATCTGAAACGCCTCCGCCGTTGCCGGCGGCCAGTTGACCAATAGCTTGCGTTCAGTCGCTAGTAGCTATGCTCATGATGGAGTCAGACAGCCGCAAATACCTATAGAAACCGGTCCAGGAAAGCCTACCCACAGCACACGGCGTTTGTTACCAAAGGTTGCGCAACTGGGATGCCACGAACACCAGCAGAAACAAGAACGACAACCAACTAGGTACTACAACAAGACAATGACAACAGCAAAACTAAGCGCAACCGCAACATCAGCAGCAGCCCCGCACCTGGGTCTGTTGCAGATATACGATGGCTCCGGCGTGGCATGACTGCGTCAGAGCTTCAAACAAGCCTTGCGCGGGGCTTCGGCTTGAGGTGAGGCAAACGGGGAACGTGCAAGAAAAGGCTGAAGCCCGCTCCCAAACTCTGAGCTGTTACCCAAGGATTCCAGGGACCTTATTATTGGGTCCTTAAAGGATCCAGGGCCCCAACTATAAGGTCCTTGGACGCATAGGGTTAGCTCTTTCTATCAAGCCGAACGTATGCGAGTGCAATCCTTTAGGCGGGGTTGTAGAGTTGGGCGTCTGACGGTTAGGATAGCTTAGAGGAATACTGATGGGTTTGGGGGTTCTCCCGAAACCCTGAACCCAAATCATGAGGCGTATAGTGTTAGCGGTTGCCCCCGCTGTTCTTCCGGAAAGCTCCCTTTGTGGCTGGCAACCCTGTCTTTAGGCTAGCAAGTACAGAAAAGGTCCGATGAAAGAGGGTTTAGGTGCCCCGCCCACCGAGAACGCTTATGATCAATCTCCGATTTTCCGATTATATTATATTATTTGCCGGCAATGGTCGTCTTTCGTGCTGTGTTTCAATATGCCATATGTCTCACCATTTAACAGCTCGATCTACCCGTCATTATCTCCTGGCCTGTCCAGGTACTTCCTATATAAGGCCAGAAAAAACAACCAGTGCGAAATACTCGGCAGCAAGTGGCCCTGCACGGAGATTATGCATCGGTGCAGCAAAGTGACAGGAAAACCGTGAGAAAGGACCCTAAGGCCTACATAAACCCAAGAGGAACCTTGATACACTTCACCCAGCTTGCGGTCAACAGATCTTGAACACCACACTCGTTGCAATTTCCCTGCACTGGTCTTTCAGCAATCCCCGGATCTTGAATCGAAACTGACCAGATGTCGTCTAATGCTATGGCTGATGGCCTGCAACGGACCAACACGTGATGCCCGAGCTGCCGACCTCAAGCCCTGCACCGACATCCGATGCCCCCCACTGAAACCCTAAACCCTCGAAAGAAACCCGACACACGCTTCATCCAAAAGAAACCCCGTGACTCCCCGAAATTCTGTATACACCAAGCCAAACTCCCCTAAATCGCCTCGCGTTGATCCCTGTTTAAGGATTTAAGTGTAGGTCTAAGGTTTGCATGTTGACTTGGGGTTTATGCTTTATAGATTTCGGGTTTATATTGTCTTTGTCTTTTAGGGTTTGGGGTTTAGGTTTAGGGTTTGGCTTCTGCTTTCAGGGTTTAGGACTTAGCTTTAGGGTTCTTAAACAACGGAAATCCCACACCAGCCTGTAAAACAAGGGCGCCATCCGAAGCCGACCGCCGACAGGGACCAAAACACCTCGGAGGCAACGGCGCTGAGCTTTAGTGATTAGGTTTGAGGTACAAAAAACTTGTATATCAAAACACAATAAAACCTATTAGCCATGACACGAACGATGAGAATGAACATACCTTTAGTTAAAAGCTGCATATAATATGTGCATACTGGGGCTCGAACGGCTTGCATGCTCCTATATGCTTGAAGCTCGGCTTGAACTCTAAACGCTGAGCCCTGAACCCTGAACCTAATAGCCCTAAACCCTAAACCCTAAACCGAAAGTCCTCAATCTGAAACCCAACCCAAGCCCATCCCGGCCCAGGCACCGCAGTGCGGGTGAGCCACGACCTGCCCATTTGTGCCAAAACAATATGGTGAACCCCAGAAAGTTGGAACATGAATTTAGGATGATTCATGCTGGGATTCCCTATACTTTACTGTAAGGGCACGAGGCTAATGATGTTCCAACTTTCTGGCTTCTACTGTACGGGGGGCCGTCGTGATAGGGGTTTAGGGATTCAGAGTTCAATACGGGGGCCCTAGTGACGAGGGCTCACGGTTTTAGGTTTTAGGGTTTAGGGCACCACATGGGAGTTTCCGAAAACAGGGGACCCCAAAAGAGTACCCTAAATGGTAGGATCATTGTTATAAGGACCCAAAAATTTGGTGCCCCTATTTTTGGAAACTCCCACATCGCTGCACATACATCTTCCATGCATGCCCAACAACCCTAAACCCTAAACCATCCGGAAGTTTTTGCTGCTCTCAACCCTCACTCACGAAGACGCTCCATGTCATTTTCTCCTGGCACAGCCTTCGGGGTCTCTTTAAACTTTATGGCTTTAGGGCTGAACAAAAGAGGGCTCCGAAAAACAGTTAGAATAGGGTTCTGCGGGTATCTTACTACTTTACGGTTTCGGGTAAAGGATTATGGCTGGAGAGTTGAGGATTTGGGGCTGGGGTAGGGGGGTTTACGGGGCGTACAGTTTCGGGGCTCAGGGATTTCCGGAATATAGGGACACTCTGGCTTCTATATTGCTTGTCCGGCGTGCTGAAGATCTAGAGGCGCGAAAAAAAGGCATCTCGCTTCCCCCCAACAAAGGTTCAAGCTTGCCTACCGGACTACTGAGACTAATCGTTGCTTTAGGCTGTGGGGTTAGGGGCTTAGGGCCAAGCGTTTAGTGTGTTGTTGTTTTAGAAACGGGTTGTGTGCCGGTGGGGTGTTTATGGCAGGATTTATGTTTTTGCGTGTTTGAATAAAAAGCTCTGCCTGGTTGAAAAAAATAATACTAATTTTATTCAAACTAGCTTGGGCTTAGGATGCTAAGGTCGCTTAAAGCTTGAAATGCCCACCGTGTCGAGCCTTTGTGCGACTTCACCCTCCGACATCATCGCTCCGAGGACGTCCAAAAGCATCCTTTGCCGAGACCGGCTTTGTGGATTCAGGGGGTTTTTAGGGCTGAGGGAATTAGAGATTTATGACTGCTCTGGGTTTAGTGCTTCTACGTGCTTGGAGGCTTTGCCTCAATAAACCACGGCTTCGGCAAAACCCAAAGCCGTACCCATGAAACTCTGGCCTAGAATCCCTTGGCCTTAAGACCTTGACCCCTAAAAGCATCCTGAACCGATGAAACGAACCCCCCTTCCCCCCCCGCCAAAGCCCTAAAACTCTCGACTCCCCAAACCATGTCCCCAAACCATGATCACACCATGATACAGCTCTTATACATCGATCTCCTGAAGAAGCACCGGAAAGCTCGAAAGCGCCTTCTAGGTGTCGATTTCAACAGTCCGCGAGATTCATGTATGACTAGGGCTTCAACAAAATTATCAAACAATTATCGCAACTCGGCACCTAATATTCATTGAAGCCCCCTAAACCCTAAACCCTAAACCCCTAAACCCTAAACCCTAAACCCTAAACCCCTAAACCCTAAACCCTAATATTCATTGAAGCCCCATGGCCCTAAACCCCAAAGCATTCAGAGCTTGGAGCTTCTGGGCTCGAGGGCATCGGTTCTACGGCTTAGACTTTGTTTAAAGTTTTGGGTTTCAGGGGATGTAGGTTTAGAATTTAAAGTCTAAAGTTAGAGTCCAGGAACCTGGGCCCAAGGTACAGTATACCATAGTTATAATGAGGAGCCCCCAAAATAGTATGAAGTAATCACGAATTTAGAGCCCCTATACTAGGCCCTATACCACTAACGAAGAGTGTGCATGTTGACTGTACCACGCACTGGGGTGATGAGGTGTCGCCCGAGGCTTTCCTTATGGCCCCGGCAAACAATTATTCTGGAGAGTCCGCAAATCGCATCACAGCGGCATGGTGACGGCGATGAATAAGCTGCCAAGCTCGCACACATCGCGCCTGCAAGATGCGTGGATGGAAGTTGTCAACACGAGAAACAGTGTCTGCCACACTTTCGCCGAAATCTTGGACAAGCTGCATCTACTGCTGGGGTGCATCCTTGAATGACAGACTGAAAGAGGTGTGAGAGCAGAGCTGAACCAAGCCAGGCCCGAATCCCGAAACTTCACCTACAACCTTACCCCAATCAACAAAGTGCACCCTTCCGCCAGCTCCCCTTTGGCCTCTTGGTTACACCTACTACCTGCTTACTACCTACTACTATCTACTACTAGATAGTAGTAGGTAGTAAGTAGGTAGTAGTATATAGTATATATATATATATATATATATAAATACTACTAAGAAGGAGCCCAAGAGCCCAAACCCTCAACTAGGTGTCGATTTCAACAGTCCCCAGAACTATTGCAAGTTAGGGCTCTGCATTAAACAGCTGGGGAAGTTAAACATCATCCCAAATCGACCTCTAGTCAACCCGTAAACTATGACCCTTCCCCGAACCCTAAACCCGTTTTGCCTCTTCGTTGCACTCAGAAGGAGGCTTCCAACCAGGCCCACGGCTAGCGAAGCTCCGGAGAAAGCCGGGCCTGCGGCTAGCATATCAGATGGCGATGTATCAGCCTTTTTGGATTTTAAGGATATCTGTATAGGGTTTCTATAAGGGTTTGATAGGGGCCTGAATCCTCGGAATATGGTTTCTGAGGAGAAGAGGGTGTACTTTACTGAACCTGCAATCAGCTGAATGGGGCTTCGGCGACATATTCGAGCTTGATGATGCCCGGACTAGAAGGGTGGTTTCGGGCTTGGGGCCTGCGGTTCAATTAGCGTGTACTTGGAGGTTCATGGGTAGTTATAAGTGGAGTTATAAGTAGGGTACCTGTAGATATATAACCCATATTAGGGGACTTATAACCCCACTTATAACTGCCCATGAACCTCCAAGCAGGGCCACAGGTTGACCGTGTCATTCGACACACACAGACTGCTCAAACGGAGCTTGATAAGGGTTCTAGAAACTCTCTTGGTGCTTACAGGTTTGTTGCAACAGAATTACAATGCTTCTCATACGGGCGCATACCTGATTTACAAGAACATTGGAAGGATCTTACCAAGGCTGTGTCAAGGTTCGAAAGGGTTTGAAGAATTTGTAGCCATGTGCAACCCCTTTAGAACTCCTCCAACATCGGATTATCGCCGCTACCAAACCCTCAACACCCTAAAACCCGAAGAGTCCATCTAAGGCCGCTGAAACACACATATAGACGCCGGAGTAGCTACCATGATTCATTATAGGGTCCATAGTTTTACTTCAGCTATACTAAACCCCGAACCCTATACTCTAAGTATTAAGCCCTGGGGGTTTCCTTTCAGCATTATATTGCCGCCAAACCCCTATTCTCATTATGAAGGCCCCTACAGATCATAGAACCCTTACAGTATCCCTTATGGTACTCCTGTATATAGAGCCCTTGAAAGGAATCCTATTCTGATTATGAAGGCCCCTCCCGTATCGACAGAGGCCTCGCGTACCCGACTCGACCAAGCCATGCACCAAGCGGAAGGCGGCGTAGAGTGCGAGAAGCCCTCGAGAAGGGAACAAAAGCTTGGGGTTTAGTGTGTCTGATAGCATGTAGGGTTTACGGTTTATGGTACATACATGTAGGGCTTAGGATATTTTAGGAGGTTGGGAGTTATAACTTATGATAGTCTAAGCTTTTGCGGATTCTTATGGGGTCCAGCGTTTGGGGTCCGGCTGCGTTGCGATAGCCCTTTTCGAAAAGGCTCTACTTTTGCGAGGTTCATGCCCAGAACAGGCCGTAAAGAAGCCTACTCGTCGGGTACCATGGGGAACTAAAGGTTAACATTTTGGTAATATGGGGATTATATAGCGACTATACTACCCAAAAAATGTTAAAGGTTACCTACTCGACTACTAAAGAAACCTGTAGTTAGAATTTTCAACTCCTATTCGGAGTGCCCCACGAACACCAGGAAGTGTTTTGTGTTTAGGGTTCAGGGTATATGGGTGGTTGTCAAATTTAGGGTTCCTTTTTCGGTACCATAAAATATTTGGTGCCGTACGATAATACGCACCCGAAAAGGGACCCTCATATTCACAACCACCCATATGAGAAGGGTCCATACTGCACAGGCAGCAGACTGAAAGATTACACGAGGATTGGCAGGGGGGAGGGAGAATTTCTACTTTGCATGCTTTTGGGGAACCCTACGGAATGCCTGCTACTTATCCTTCAGGCCCTACCATATATTAAACAGGTAGACGGGTAGACTTGGCTGAAAAAACTGAGAGTATATCTCGAAATCCCTATGCCCTGAACCTCTCTATGCCAACCATACATTTGAAACCCTTCGAAGTTCGCCAAATGCAGCGGCCCAGATAACTAGACAGGTTGTTGGAGTGCAGTCTCGTATAAACTATGAATGTAAGGACTACACCTACAATGTTCTGACATTCGTAGAAATTTTCCAAACTCCTAATAAACTCCTGATATACGGGCCTTAATAATTGAATAAGGTGTTGCGGCCCATTCTCCTGTAACTTCATAACTATAATCACGACCCCCCAAATAGTATAGGTGATTACTAAGCCCCTATTTTACAGTGCCCGTATAGTATACGCCCTTCTGGACACTTTCAAAGGGACCCTTTAAAGGAACCCCTAAAGGTAATCATTAAGGCCCCTACTTGGAGGTTCATGGGTAGTTATCAGTGGGGTTGTACGGCCCCTCATATGGGTTATAACTGTAGACTGGCTATAGTGCTCGCTACAGTTACTCTACTTATAACCCCACATATAACGCCCCATGGACCTCCAAGTAGGCCCTAAACCCTATACCCCTTCAAGAATCCCTATAAATCCCTTTAGGGACCCTTAAAAGCGCCCCTATGACTCCCCACGAACCTCCAGGTTTAGTATGTTAAGCCTCTGCGGGCTTCCTCACTGCAAACTGGGCGCTTAGGAGCCCCAATCGATGGCTCCAACAGTGTCGGTTCGCCCAGGCGCGTGGGGGAGGAAGGACCTCGGAAGCCGGATTGAAGGGCTTCTGCAAAGGTTTATGGAGGGGCTTTAAAGGCTCGATTCAGGGTTTTAGAAGGGTTTTTAGATGCCTAAACCCTAAACCCTAAACCCTAAACCGGTTCAAGAACGAATCGTTGCTTCAGGATTGCGGGTAGGTGGGGGCTGCCAGGGCTCTTGGGTTGAGATAGGGGCTAAGGCGTCTAGGTTTGGAGACTTAATGGCTTACCCTTAACCCCAAATTAGCCTACTTTTTTAAGGACCTTTATAAGAAAATCATAATTGGGAGCCTTGAAAAGGAGGAAGGTTTCAGAGGGTCCGGGTAGTCCCTGCTCTCTGAGACTCCAAAGGGCACAAGGTGCGTCCAATTCATTACGTAGTTGTATGAGCTAAAGAAATTAGACCCCAGAGACTCCAATATCATTTAAGGTATATTCCTAAATTAAGGGATATTGGAGTCTCTTGGACAGAGTACGCCAGCTTGGCCTGGGGTGTCGGTGTGCTTTACAGGAAGTCTGTCACGTAATGCCAAGGAGGAATATCATGTAACGCAACCCTCCTACACTCAGCCATCGCCGGACAAAAAAACCATGATCACCATTGCGACTGTTGAGGCCCAGGGCTAAACCCAATAACATCCTGCCAGTTCCATAAACCCTAAACCCTAAACCCTGTTCCAACCGATTTGGCTCAGGTCATGCAGGTAGGGTGATCTCCTACCGGCAACCGTGCTTTTAACGTACTACTAGTAAGGCCCAAGATAGTTTCGGAAGAGTGCGTGCGTCTGCTTGACTACTTATACCCACAGGCTCCATAGTAGTTCCTTCCTGGGATTACCTTATGGGATTCGAAATATGAACCCCGAAAAGGAACTACCACGGAGCCTCTAGGTACATATGCAAGCTGGGTGACAGCAGCTTTGGTCCTCCTCTGTAGCCTGAGCTGGTCAGCAAAGTAAGTGTGGTTCCAAAAACCTTTCTTGAGAAGTTTGCTGGTTCCGAATAGTTCCGAAGACCACGCGGGTTTTTGTTTAACAAATGCAGGGTTTGCTCCGAAGGTAAACTAGCTAAACCGAGAGTGCATGTACCCAGCTATATGGGAGCCACTTGAAGGCCAGAGATGTGCCGTGTAGGTGCACCCTAAAACTGTTTTTTGGTGGGGGCAGAAACGCTGAACCAATGCCATGTCTCGTTCTAAGTTTGGTGAAGCAGGCTTGGCAATAGAAGCAAGCAGCCGCGGTCTGTACAATTGAACCGTCAGGCTGTAAGGTTCCAGATTTTAATGAGCCAGAAGACCTGGTTTGCAGGTTATGACACTTACGTATGACTGCCCGACACTCCGAGCAGACGATCTATAATTTATCTACAATCCTATCATACTAATAATACTGTTAATACTAATACAAATAAAAATATCAATAATAGCTTTTAAATAGTCGTGGTAGCCGTGTAATCAGCTTACGAATGCCAACGACCCTCTGAGGGGCTGTTTGCACGTACCGGGACAGACGGTGAACACAAAGTGCCCAGCCTTGCGAAACCTGATGGAGCTTTCGTGCTGATGTAGGGGCCGCAATCAATATATAATTGGAATAGGAACCCTGGGGGATTTTAATATTTGGTCCAAATTTAATACGCTTTTTCCTCGCAGATCCTGACAACAATGTGCCTAAGCACGAACATCGCACACCGGCTCCTTGATCACATGATCCCACACGTCTGGATTTCTGAAATCCTTGAACTCCCCTGAAATCCCCAGCCCTTATCACCGGGAAGGCACGTTTCGGCTAGGCCGGGCGGGTTCTCGTCATGCATCTTCCGCATCCGGCATTACTCCCCGTTCAGGGCTATAGCTTGATAGAGAGAAGACATGGCTGCAAAAAGCACGCATCGGGAGCCGGGGATGGAGGTCTTAGACATGCTGCAAAAGCACAGGTCTACATACCGGTCTTTGCAAAGCCCTAGCTAAACCTGTGATTTACTGCGAGGTCGCGTCCACAGCTGGCATTCAGGCCATTTCGGAATACCTTCAACGTCCTGTAAGTACTAGTACTAGTACTAGTAGTCTGAAGTGCTCAGAGGGCCTCTTCATCCCCGGCAACGGAATCCCGAGTCCACAAGGCCCAGGGGGTCTTTGCGTTCTCACTGCGGGCTCAACATCCAAAAGGAGCTGAGGCCGGGATTTGCAAAGTGCAAAGTCGTAAGCATTTTTCAAGGGGTGTAATAGTGTAATACTTAGAATAGGGCGTTGGGGCCCAAAAGACTATAATCAAAAGAAGGACCCCCCCCCCCCCAACATAGTTTAGGTAATTTCTAAGTTCCCTATGTTACTCGGTTTTCGCTTGGTGAAAAACACACAAACACACACAGAGACAGACAGACAGACAGACAGACACAGACACAGACACAGACACAGACACAGACACAGACACAGACAGACACACACAGACACACACACACACACACACACAAACTAGAGCGACAGTAAATACTGCTCGGGGCATTGTGCGTCCAAGGCTCAGGTAAACCCAATATGCCCTATCCGAAAAGCCAATAAATTACGAACGTGCCACCTAGATTCTGCAGGAGTTAGCTGCAAAATGAAGCGCATCCAACCACGCCGTGGCCTGAGAGAAGCCCGGAGCTCTGGAACCTTCTCCCCTCAACCCCGAACCCCGTACTTGGAGGGTCGGGGGACTTAGTAGCTGGTTATTTTATAATAGGGACTTAGGAGTACCATAACCCCAGTTAGAGTCCCTTTTAGGGCACTTATAAGTCTACTTACTACCTACTTACTAAGTCCCGCGACCCTCCAAGTAGAACCTCCTTTGGGCTCGCGTTTGCCAGGGGCTCCACCCAGACGTGCTGGCCGAGATGGAAGAAGGGCCATGCAACGGATGGGCTTGAAAGATGCAGGGTTTACTCTGGGTAGTTGTCAAAATGTTGGTCCATTGTTGGGTACCCTAAACATTAGGTGCCGTATTATAATACGGACCCACAAAGGGACCCTAATATTGGCAACCACCCATATGACATATCAGAGGGTTCAAGGCCGAGGGCTAAGGGTTGAACAGGGTTTCAGGTTAGGCTGGGGGTCGAAGTAAGAATAAGAGTACCTAGAAGCGACTTCCATGGCTTTATACAGGCTGATCGGGTAGAGGTAAGCCCCATAAACTTCGGCCATGGGCTGCAGAGTGTCGAAGTCTTCAGCTCGAGGGTTGCGGTTTAGGGTTTAGGGGTTAGGGTTTAGGGGTTTAGGGGTTTACTAATTTAGGCTTTAGGGGTTAGGGTTTAGGGGTGTAGGGGTTTAGTAATTGAGGGTTTAGAGTGTAGGGTTTAGGAGGGGTTTGCAAGGGTTTAGAGGCTTCTTGAACGGAGTGCACTCGGAGCACAACTTGATCTGAGCCGAAGCTGCTATCACCGAAAGCCCATATTGAGAAATCTCCAAGAATGAAGACAACCATGAACTAGTTACACATATTCACAGGCCGGGAACTTCTGGCAATCTACTGAATGCTAGGGCGAAGAAGACAAGCATGGGAGGAAAAATAAAATGAATCACGTACCAAGAATGACTGCCATAGGAGCTGAAGGACTAGGGTTTGCGTTGACCGAAGGTATTATTAGGACCTTTCTTTAATCCAATTCATTTCTGGTGGGTATTCAACCGGGAATGCAATTAATTAGGAACCCTAAGGAACAACATTCCCAATAATTCGGCGGCTCCCGACACTTGCGAACTCCATGACTGTTGCTGCTTTATGAACTCTATGCCGTATTTGGAGGTTCATGTGTACGTATAGCTGGCGTTATAAGTCCCCTAATATGGGTACTAGCTACAGTTACCTTATTTATAACCCCACTTATAACTACCCATGAACCTCCAAGTAAGCGCAAGTGAAGAACTCCCCACCACCTTAAGCCCACAATGAACCTTAGTTCCACCCAAATCCAAATTTCCGAAGACAACAGTGTTGAAATCCCCAAAGCTCAAAAAAAGGTCTGCCTATCTCTCCATACACACGATTTTCCACATCTCGCACATCGCCGTTGACGACGGGGGAATAGGAAGCGGCTCTTCACTATCCCCAAAGGCTGCAATCTACAAAAGCGACAATGTGGGGCCAGACAGGCAAGTACCGGCTTTCCAGCACGAGCACAATCAAAACAGCGATGACACTGTGACAGCGGTAATGGCTTTCGCAAACGATACAGCCATGGAAAACGCCGCTATGAACGGCATCTGGCATCTATCCTTATCCTATAGATAGACGAACCCTGAGCGTGTTGAACACAAGATACACAGTGTGGTGCTGAGCATAACGCGTGACACTTTCCAGGACGAACCAAGATGTCGGCCCTCATCTCACTCTCCGACGGTGGTCACCTTCGTCCACTTTCCTCCCGTGCTCTCCTGCAAGTAATGAGTGAGAAGATGCAAGAATGATTACTATCATTGTTGCTTGTGTTTTGTATGGTGGACATTTGTGTGTATATCCTTGTTACAAGTACTGTCGTATGGGGCATGGGCTTTTGGCGAAGGACCAAGGTTTCGTCGTTTCGTGCTATGGGCTTCCTGGTGATTATCATGTGCAAAAGGCTGTCAGGTTATCAGGGGTAAGTTGTCGTGATTCAGGGTTTCACGAACGGCTTAGGGTTCAAGGTTTAGGGTTTCATGAGCCGGGGGGCTTGTAGTGAACATGGGAAGCTTCGCCCGGCCAGAAAGACCACCCGACAGAAAGAGGTTCTCTCAGCGCGGTCGTCGTGGTCACCTTGAACTTTCAAGTCCTCTCACAGTCACCGGTTGCCCCTCCTCATCACCATCACCACCGTCATCGCTATCAAATCATCAAAAACCATCACCATCATATGACAAAGCAACATTTGTGGTAAGGCCTCATCTCATGGTTGCCCGCAGGTAGGTGCAACCTCCCATCCTCGACGAGGGATTCTGATAGAAATCAACGGGTTTAGGCACTACCTGTAGCCCCAAACCGTGAGTGGGTTATGACCTTTTGGGATTTAGTTCCCTCCCTCAATGCAAGCCCTAAACGGAAACTCATGCAATCCTCAACACTACGGTCCTTGAAAAGCACCGAGCTGTCTGCCAGCGCCACCGCCAGCAGGGTGCCAGCCTATGGCGGCTCTACAGAAAAGGTGACAGGCTTTGATATGGCTTTGATAGAAACATGACCCTAGAAATCCACGTTGTCATCGACTCGCTCGCTTTGACGATGCCTTAACCCCAAAGGCCCTGTGCCTTATCATGCGGAACCCAAACGCCTCAGTACATACGACCGAGACCACCCCTCCTGAATGTGACCTCGAACTATATAACCCCCGAGCATGCTGATGAATGAACTCCCTTTCTGTGCGGACCGTAATGATCGGATCACTTCGAATCCCGAAGGAAGGGGGGTTCAGCAATCACGGGTCTACATGTAACCCTAACGCTAAACCGTACCTTTTGGTACCCTAAACCGCAATCCCCAACCCTTTGAACCCCAAGAACCCAAACCCTAAAGCCCTCAACCCAAACACAAAGCCAAAACCCGGCCTTCGTCCAGGCGATCCGCTCCGGGCTGACGGCACCGAGGTTGAAGCTCTGGCGTGGGCCGAAAGGCAGCCCCTCGGCGTCCTGTCAACAATACTGAACTTAGAACACTAGCAAAAATTACAATTCTAGCTGTTTATTTCTGAGTACCAGTCAAGTTTGGAATCGGGGCTTCACGGTTTGGGGTCAAGGCTCTGGACGTATCTGGGAGTCTCCGAAAATAGGGGACTATTAATATAGTTCTCGTACATAGTAGGATCCTTATTATAAGGATCCCAAAATAAGGTACCACCGAATTTTCGGAAACTCCCATGTGGTTCAGTTTGCTGTTGGAAAGTATTTCGGTGTGAGGAATTCAAGGCGGAAGCTGCGAAAGCAAAAGTGCTGTGAACGGCCCGGTTGGGTTTGTTGGGTCCGCTGTGGGGTATCTGTATTGTTCTGTGGTTAACGCGGGAATGCAAGGGAATAACTGAATACTAGTGGTAGCTATTTCGACATCTATCGCTTAACAGGGCAGCTGCCATCCACGCATCACATGGACGGAAATCTGCCCTAAGTACGTGAAGCCCCGAAACAAGAAACGTGCCCAAAGGCATAGACAGCACACAACGCATAGAGAACTGCTAAACTCCTGCAGAAGCCCGTCCCATCTACACCGGTAGCCACTCTACAAATCCTGTAAAGCCCCTACACCCATACCCCAAAATTTCAATCCTAAGCCCCGCAACTACCCACCTAAACCCTCAACACTATCCTAGGATGCCCGGCAACCTGGGAATAAAAAGGGCTCCCTTTCTGGTATTGGATAGGGAACCTAGGACTACACAAAGGGAATAAGGGCACTACTGGGCATCCTGGTCTCTTCCACCGGGCCCTGAACCCTATACCCTTTATAGAATCCTTATAGATCCCTTTAAAGGCACCCTTAAAGGAACCCTTTTAACTCCTAAACCCTAAACCCCTAAACCCTATCTTCCCCCGAAGCTGCCTGCACCAGGACGGAGACCTGGCCGTCCTGTCACAGTCTACGCCGGGGCACATCCTAACGCGCCCAAGCCAGGGCTTTTAGGTTAGGGTTAGGGTTTATAGGGTTTAGGGTTCAGGGTTCACAGCAGATGCCGAAAAGTTGGAAACCCGATAGCCTCAATCCCTAAGAGCAAAGTAAAGGGAATCCCAGCACGATTTGTCCTTAATCAGGTTTCCAACTTTTTGGAGTTTACAATAGGTTGTAGGGCTTCGGGCCTAGGAATTCAGGGAAAGGGGCGAATTGAGGACGAGGGACCTTTCGTGTTATGGGGATGCCAAACAGGACATCGACTCTCTGGTCACCCAACGCAGGTGGCCAGGAAGCACAATATGGCGATCGCAGAAAACCAACCTGAGGTTTGAAACCTAGGCAAAAAGTAATAGTAATAGTAGCAGTCATAGTAATAACCATAATTAGTCATAGTCCACATTCAACCCAAACTTAAATCCACTGCACCCGAGGGATACCCCAAGCTTGCAATGCCTAAACCCCAAGCTGCTGAAAGCCTGGATGCCTCACTGCAAGACGTTCCAACCTTCCATGCCATCATCTTCCAAGGCATTCGACTGGACGACCTGGACCGTGGCAACGAACTCGGCTTCCTGCTTTATAATTGACCCAGTGCTGGAAGTCCAAATTCCATTCTCTGCAGCCGCTCGTGCACGAGAATGAGCGAAGCCTCAGAAGGTGGCCAGGGATGTACTCCCACAACCCATGTTGTCCATGTGCTGGATGATTTCGCCGTGTCCTTCTCAGGAAGTGGATGCGTCCTCCGCAAAGAACCCCATCATTGTACAGCTCTTCAAGAATTCTCCACTCATGCACTCCACGTGGTAGTACTTGAAGACGTAAAACAACGACATGATGCTCGTGCGAGGCAGGCTATCAGCACGCACGTTACATTAGTTTATGACCTTACTTAAACTACTGTTATTGGTTCCTGCTACTTGACTGGGCACTACTGAAGCCGTGAAATCTAAACTCCGACAAGCCATAAATCTGACATGGTGACCAAACCAAACCCTTTTGGCCCCGAAAAGCACCCTTAGAGGAACCGCTATAGATCCCTTGAAGAACCCTCAAAGGAACCCCTGTAGATCCCTGAAAAGGAACCCTTACGGGATGAATACGCCAGCCCAAAAGAGGCCAACCTGTTAGATTGCGGTAAGATTCTACCAACCCCAAAGAACGAATCCTACCCTAAACCCTAAACCCCTAAACACTAAACCCCTAAACCCTAAACTCCTAATCCCCTGAACCCTTAAGCTCCTAAACCCCGAACAATGAACTAAACATCCAGGGCCTCGCTGCAGGCCACGAGCGTCTGGCTCGGAAGACCGCAGTTCGGCCTGCGGCACTTTTTGGGCGTAATGTAAGGGCCTTAATGGGTTTAGGGTTTCGGGTTTGGGGCTTTAGGGTTTTAGGGTTTAGGGCTTTAGGGTTTTAGGGTTTAGGGCAATAATTAGAACAGGTTTCCTCTAATTAAAGGGCTCTATACAAGGGTTACTATATGGGGGACTAGAAGCGCTCTATGATGTGGGGCCTTGATACGTTTTGAAGAGGGTTTGGGGGTGTAGTATACTATAAATATAATAAGGAACCCCCATGACCCTATACTAACTATTGAGGCACCTACAGTATTTTCCGACAATGAAACTAGCTTAAGTAGCAATGAGCGGGACAGCCCTTAATTCAATTACTATGTTATGAACTGTTATGTTTTTATAAGACATTAACCTAGGATATCTTCTATATAGCACTTCCACTACAATTGTAGTGGAAGTGCTATGAGCTTAGGTGTTTGGGGCGTGTGACATCGCAGCGTCAGAGTCCAAAGACTACAGACTTCTACATAGGGTGAGCTTCAGAAATGCAAAGTTTCGGGGCATCGAGCAAACAGCCCCAATTCACCACATTCCAGAACTCAGAGGATGTGGCCGTCGTTGCGCAATCGTCTTCAACAATTGCAAAAAACGGAGCATTGCTTGCAAGGCCGCTCTGTAAAGCAAGCTCGTGAGAAAGAGCGCGCCCCAACACTCCCCAAGGCTTCGCCAGACCGGCGACGAACTACTCGCTTTGAGTCCAACTGAAAGTGGTCAAACCGTTTGATTGGCCGTACCGTCCCTCCGAACATCGCAGTGTCTCTCCGTCTATGGCATCAATCCACACAGAAGAGGCACACTCCAGCGCATCCAGAAACTGCTGCATACGTCGACGCCGATCTTTGTGGCGCTTAAGCGAGATCACATAGACCGGACAAGGAGGACCAACCATGGCTAGTGTACTAGGGTCAAGGGTTCTAACAGGTTTGGGAGTAGAGGGGAGAGTATAAGGATCTAGAATAGTAATTGTCGAGTTTAGGGTTGGAGCGGCATATTGGGGTGTAGGGGATTTGGATACGTGGGCTTAGGGGCCACGAGTGTAGAGGTTTAGGTGGTAGTAGGCCATAAGGTGTAGCACGGGTCTAGGGCTTCGACTTTCGTGAGGGATTACCAGCCTATGAAGTCCACACCATACATACCCCTGTAATCGCCAGGAGCGTCTCCCAGAAAACCGAACACGAGTGATTGTAGAACACCAGACCACCGGATAGAATCCCACGAAATTTGGGGTATCCGTCGAAATCCCTCAAAACCTAAACCAACTAAATGCGGACTTCAAGGGCTCGGAAACATAACCTTAGGTTGAGGGTTTTCGGGGTGTAGGCCTTTAGGCTTAGCTGATTCTGGACCGTTTAGGGTTTATAGGCTTAGCTGCTTTAGGACACTCTATAAACTATAGCTACGCAAACATCATGGAAGCCTCCCAACAAACCGAGTAACCCTGACACCACAAATCCTCCTTGACCTGACTCTAAACCCTAAACCCTAAACCCTGAACCCTAAACCCTAAAGCCCCAAACCCTAAACCCTAAACCCTAAAACCCCCCCACCCTATAGATCTCCTAAAGGAATGCTTAGACTAATACTTTTCAATTGAACCCCAAAACCCTAACCTGCCCCCCCCCCCCCCCTCGACCTCCAGGCAACCGCAGTCCACAAACCCCCAGAGGCCAGGGCAGCCTCATGTCAGACGTGCTTGGAGGTTCATGGATAGTTATAAGTTATAAGTGGGGCTATAAGTCCCCTAATATTATGGGTTATAGCTATAGTTACCCTACTTATAACCCCACTTATGACTACCCATGAACCTCCAAGTGACACTTTGGAAGGGTTTAGGGCTGAAGAGGTGTAGGGTGTTACGGTAGGTTTTTGGGGTTCAGGGTTTATAGGGTTCAGAATTTAGGGCTAGGATTTAGGGGCTATGGATTCGAGAGGGACTTTGTAGAGCGCTGGACTCAGGAGGGCCTGGGGTTCAGCCCAGACCTCCCAAAATCCCTTAATTAAGGAATATACCTTAAATTATAATAGGATCCCTAATACGATTTAAGGTATATTCCTTAATTAAGGGATTTTGGAAGGTCTGGGAGGAGAGGTGAAGGAAGTTTATAAGGGAGCTACGATGCTTCCATAAGGGCACTAGCTGTCAAAATTATGGTCCCTGTTTGGGTGCCCTAAATATTAGGTTTAAGGACCCAGAAAGGGACATCATTTTGACAACCACCCATAAGTCTGGAGGGTTTACGGATGAAGATTTGTGCGTGAGACTCCCTGGAAAGATGCTCCCTTCCGAGACCCGTTGTCCCTGAAAAAGACTCTCAACCGCGATCATTCTTCTGACCAAGGTCCAAGGTGCCACGTTTCATACGGCTGTAGCCACTGAAATGAGCTCTGCATGAGATTGCACATCGCGGCCCACCCATATCAACTATTATTGTTGCTCAGCCTTGTCCTTCAATCTTGGTACCCGGTATCAGTGTTGATATTCAGGTTGGGATGTCGTCTGCTTGCTGAACGTTGTGATCGGTCGTCTTTGGTGCTGACGTTTGGGGCATAACCTGTTTTTGAATGTTATGCTCGTTGTGCGGTGACTGGCTGATTTTTGGGTCTCGTCGGGGGTTCTTGTCTTTTGAGGCTGACTGGCTTACAAACATCTACTATAACCCAAGACCGCACAACCTACACCAAATCAACACATAGTAAGCCCGCGTACCGAACAACTAGGTCTGTTGGACTCGGACTCTTACGGACAACCCTAAACTAAATCCCAAACTAAACTCGAAACTAAACTCTAAACTAGACCCTAAACTAAACCCTAAACTAAACTCTAAACTAAACTCTAAACTAGACCCTAAACTAAACTCTAAACTAGACCCTAAACAAAACTCTAAACTAAACCCTAAACTAAACTCTAAACTAAACCCTAAACTAAACTCTAAACTGAACCCTAAACTAAACTCTAAACTGAACCCTAAACCCACCCTAAAATTGAGGCCCCGTCAACTCCGCCGCCATTGCCGTCATCGAGGACAATTTCCTGCAACGGGTTCTGTCCCCGGGCGTCGACACCTCGAAGAGTCTAGGGGTTTAGGGATTAGGGTAAGGGTTTAGGTTTAGAGTTTAGGGGTTTAGGGATTAGGGTAAGGGTTTAGGGTTTGGTGGATGTTGGGTGCTATAGTGGGCTTGTGCGTGTTTCCCTTTTCTGAAACCTAAATTCTAGTAAGAGGTTTCCTGGTTTTCGATGGCTTAGATGCTGGGATTGATGAGGGGGAGGGTCTAGTTGAAAGCATATGATTAGTGCGGTTTGGGCAATAGCCTTGTCGTCCATGCCCAGAGACACGGCAACCAGCGCTACCCGGGATGCGTTACAAAGTGGAATTTTGGCTTTGCAGTATACTCTGCTTGACTCTGACCCCATGGGTCCAAAGGACCCAAGAATCAGGTATTCGGTTTTAAATAGTAGTTATGTAGGTTAGGATGTTGGAGTATATGATTATTGGGTACTTGGACCATTGGGGTAAGGGACTTGGCTTCAGTGCGTTTAGGAGTTTAGGAGTTAGCTTGCACTTCCGGCCTTCTTGCAGAGTCCCGGAGCTGCGACAACAAAACGTGAACTGCAAAGCCAGTCGTAATCGTGTCCCGATACCCTGAGCTTTAGGTACAAGGCTTTGGCTTTGAAGGTTAATAACTAAGCCCTAAGCCGGAATGAAACTCATAGTTGACAGTAGTGAACCCTAAACTCTGAACTCTGAACCCTAATGGTGAATTCACCCGGGCACGCCAGGTCAGTAGTCGGCCGTCACGGCCGGCCGTGGCCAACCGGCGCACCTGAAATTTCGCGAAACTTCTTTGGTCTCTGGGTTCCTTTACAAAGTCCGTAAAGAGATGTCTCTCACCTCCACACTTACTTGAAATACGGGAGGTGCTGCTAACGATACTCCAAGAAACACCACCTGACCCTACCGTAAGCCCGTCAGCCCCGAATACACAACCCTGAGCCCACAAAACCATGCGATCTAGACTCTCTAAACGGTTGGAACCCCAAACCCTCATGCCCTGAACAGCCCTCAGCCCCGAACAAACTACCGACCATACTATCCCAGGCATGCAGACCTCATAGGACTTCTAGCGAAACCACGTAATGTGAAACGTCTATGGACGTCTCTGAACACGACCGCTCATAAAACCGCACAGATCCCTCACAGAACCCTTCTAGCCCCTGCACAATCCCTGTCAAACCCATCTGAAATCCCGACCGAACCCACTATCATTGTTTTTCCCGGTCTTATCGTCTTAACATTGTTCATTCGCATACCTTACTACCAACAAGTTTAATTCTTCTCCGTGCCATTAGTCAATGATGTTGCTTCGTCGTCTTAAGCTTGTTTTGCTATGATTGTCATAGTTGCTCTAAACTATCTACTGGTATTGAGTAGTATCATGCTATGATTCTTCTTAATACTAAGCTATATTAACTCTGATTATCATAGTTACTATAAACTACAAACGACAGCCCCCTAAACCCTAAAACCCTAAAACCCTTATAGATCCCGTTAAAAGGAACCCTTATAGAACTGTTATCATAGCTACTATTAGCTATAAAAGAAAGCCCTTTAAAGGAACCTTGTAGACCCCTTGAGGGGAACCCTTATAGATCCCTTTAACGGAACCCTCATAGAACGGTTATCATAGTTAAATTATACTAGGAACCAGGAACCCGAAAAGATAGGAACCCAGAAACCCGAAAAGTAAAAAAGTGTAGCACTGAACAGCCTGAAAAAAAGATAGCCCCCTAGACCCTAAAACCCTAAATCCCTTATAGACGCCTTTAAAGGAACCCTTTATAGAACTGTTATCATAGTTACTATTAGCGATAAAAGACAGCCCTTGAAACTACTAGGAACATTAATGCTATCTTTACTCTGATTACCATAGACACTATAATCAACGAAAAAAAATATCCCTGCAAAGACCGAGGCCCAGTGGCCGGGGCTAAGGCTCGGCCCTGGGTCTGGCCCCGGGCGACGGCGGGACCTCGGGGCCCAGGAGGCCACCGGAGAACGGAAAAAAAAAAAAAAAAAAAAAAAACTGAAAGTAAGGACTAGAATGGGGCTTTCGGGGCTTTAGGGTTAGGGTCTTTCTGTTTTAGGATTTGTAAGGGATAAAAACCCTGAAAGTAAGGAATAAAATGGGGCTTTAGGGTTAGGGCTTTTAGGTTTTCAGGGTTTAGGGATTTTAGGGTTAAGGGGTTAAGGGACCGCGGAAATAAGGAATAGACAAGGGCCCTTTAATGGAGCCCTTATGGCCCTGAATGAAGGGTATTTGGGGGTACATTAGAGGGTAGTTGGGGGGCTTTAAGGGTTTAAGGCTAGGGCGTTTAAGCCACCAAAAAACCCTGAAAGTAAGGAATAGATTCTGGCTCAGGCTTTAGTGTTAAGCTTTTTCAGGCCGCCTAACAACCTTGAAAGTAGGGAACCAAGAAGGTATTAGCTTTACTACTATTTGCTTAAGAACCCCCCAAAAAAATAAAAAATATATTCCTTATGGGTGCAATATAGGGATTTTTATCTTTATTTTTTGGGGTTTCTTAAGCAAACAGTAGTTTATAGGAGTTCTACGGGGACTGCAAACTATTCTGCTTAGAAGGCTTTGAATTGAGCCATAGAGTCGGGTTCGAGGCTTACGATGGAATGGGTGGGGTATGTAGAGCTTTTTACAAGGTTCTAAAAGGACCGTGCGATTTTTCATAGGGATTACCCCAATCGCCAAACCTCGGGTTTTATGTGGCTTCGATCAAAACAAGGGGGGAGTACGGACTAGAATGGTTTAAAGTTTAAGTTTTGTTTTTAAGGCTTCGGTTTAACTATAGGGTTTGCAGGGGGTGGTGCTTCGTAGGGGCTTTGTAGGAGTCTATAGGGTGTTATATGGCTTTCTCTAGGTCTATATGGTGTCTAGCAAAAGGGTGCCGCCGGGATTGTAGTCTAGCCGGTCAAACCCTACAGGACCTATGACGTCCGACAAAGCCTCAACCCTTCACCAGTGGGAACCCAAAGCTTAAAATCGGATTGTACCTTACATTCCTTACAACCCTAAACCCTAAACCCTAAACCCTAAACTCTCGTAAGTTGATGCAGTACTCCTTTTCTAACGATTGTCTAAATCCAAGCCCTGAGCCCTAAGCTTCCCCAGAGACTCCAATATCCATTAATTAAGGAATATTCCTTAAATCATACTAGGGATCCTACTATAACTCCCTTAATTAAGGGATTTTGGGTTTAGGGTTTAGGGTTTAGGGTGTAGGGTTTAGGGTTTAGGGAATATTCCTTAAATCATACTAGGGATCCAACTATAACTCCCTTAATTAAGGGATTTTGGGTTTAGGGTTTAGGGTGTAGGGTTTAGGGTTTAGGGAATATTCCTTAAATCATACTAGGGGTCCTATTATAACTTAAGGTATATTCCGCAACTAAGGGGTATTGGAGCCTCTGGGTTCTAGGTAGACAAGTTGCCTGTGGCCAGAACCAAGGGGGAGGAAGCGGGAGCCCAGCTCAACGACAGCACGCCGCCGCCGTGAGCAGGGATGGCCTTCACCTCAAGCACTGTGGGCTTAAGCTTTGGGGCCTTAATAGTTAGAATAGAAGCTCCTTTTTAAGGGTTACCTTAACCTTAAGCTATATTATAAGGGCTCTATTTTATAGGGGCCGTAATAGTTAGAATAGGGTTTTTGGTGGTCCATTATACTATAACTATAATAAGGACCCCCCAAAATAGTATAGTTAACTATTTAGGCCCCTATATTAAGCTTTGGGGGTTGAGGGTTGTGGGGTTGAGGGGTTGACGGCTTGCGGGTTTCTTGAGTTGGGGTACCGGGTTGGAGACTGAAATCTGCTTCCGTCGCAGTTGCGAAGACATCGCTACGGTCGAGTTTTCATATTTCTCAATTATCGCGCTGGGTGTTTGCTTGTTCACAGCGAAGTCCAGCATGCAAACCTTGATTGAGCCCTGAAGCCCTACCATGAACCCTCAACCCCAAACCCTAAAGCATTATGTGCCAAAATGCAAGATTCTGGGGTTAGTTTAGTGTTCGGAGCCGTAGAACAAACAGACTGCAACTAAGGATCAAGGTTTTGTGCGGTCTGCATTGGTTCTGCAGCGTGGAATTCTAGTTTTTGGCTGCAGGACATTTCAAATTTCCGATGCAAACTTGCTGCCCATTGAGAGCATTAATGGCGCAGCTAGCGTTTACTATGCGATAAACAAACAACAAACCCTAAACCCTAAACCCTAAACCCTAAACCCTATACTAAACCCGAAACCCCTAAACCGTGGGCTGTCTACCTGCCACTGGTCGCCACCCTGAGCACCTCTTCGCAGTTCAACCTTGGCATCTCTGACAAAGCCTTTTGGGTTTGGGGGGCTCTTATGGGTACTACAATGGGTTCGACAGGCGAGCTTTGCTATCTGAGAGGCTTTTCTGCTATCTTCAATAGTGTATCTGCTGGCTTGTGGGTACGGTTTCATAAGGTTTGAAGTGTGTATATGTGTATATGGATATATGGTATCATGTGTGTATATATATATATAGAGAGAGAGAGAGAGAGAGAGAGAGAGAGAGACAGAGACAGAGAGTCAGAGTTTGGTAGGGGCCCAACATCACAAGTTGGAGCATGCTTCTGCAACGGCGTGCCCGTGAAGCGTGGTTGGTAGTCGGCCCTGCCGGCGGAGACAGCAAGGGTCGAATGGAAGACCACACCCGGCCGCTCTTGCATGCCAAAAACTTAGAGAATTGGGGGACGGCCCAACATCTCAAGTGGGAGCATGCTTCTGCAACGGCGTGCCTTTGAAGCGTGGTTGGTAGTCGGCCCTGCCGACGGAGACAGCAAGGGTCGAATGGAAGACCACACCCGGCCGCTCTTGCATGCCAAAAACTTAGAGAATTGGGGGACGGCCCAACATCTCAAGTGGGAGCATGCTTCTGCATGGTAGTCGGCCCTGCCGACGGCGACAGCAAGGGTCGAATGGAAGACCACAGCCGGCCGCTATTGTATGCCAAAAACTTAGAGAATTGAGGGATCACACAACATCTCTAGTCGGAGCATGCTTCTGCAACGGCGTGCCCTTGAAGCGTGGTTGGTAGTCGGCCCTGCCGACGGAGACAGCAAGGGTCGAATGGAAGACCACACCCGGCCGCTCTTGCATGCCAAAAACTTAGAGAATTGGGGCACGGCCCAACATCTCAAGTGGGAGCATGCTTCTGCAACGGCGTGCTATTGCAGCGTGGTTGGTAGCCGGCCCTGCCGGCGGAGACAGCAAGGGCCGCATGGAAGACCACCCCAGGGACGGCCCAACATCTCAAGTGGGAGCATGCTTCTGCAACGGCGTGCCCGTGAAGCGTGGTTGGTAGTCGGCCCTGCCGGCGGAGACGGCAAGGGTCGAATGGAAGACCACACCCGGCCGCTCTTGCATGCCAAAAACTTAGAGAATTGGGGGACGGCCCAACATCTCAAGTGGGAGCATGCTTCTGCAACGGCGTGCCCTTGAAGCGTGGTTGGTAGTCGGCCCTGCCGACGGAGACAGCAAGGGTCGAATGGAAGACCACACCCGGCCGCTCTTGCATGCCAAAAACTTAGAGAATTGGGGGACGGCCCAACATCTCAAGTGGGAGCATGCTTCTGCAACGGCGTGCCCTTGAATCGTGGTTGGTAGTCGGCCCTGCCGACGGAGACGGCAAGGTCGAATGGAAGACCACACCCGGCCGCTCTTGCATGCCAAAAACTTAGAGAATTGGGGAACGGCCCAACATCTCAAGTGGGAGCATGCTTCTGCATGGTAGTCGGCCCTGCCGACGGCGACAGCAAGGGTCGAATGGAAGACCACACCCGGCCGCTATTGTATGCCAAAAACTTAGAGAATTGAGGGATCACACAACATCTCTAGTCGGAGCATGCTTCTGCAACGGCGTGCCCTTGAAGTGTGGTTGGTAGTCGGCCCTGCCGACGGAGACAGCAAGGGTCGAATGGAAGACCACACCCGGCCGCTCTTGCATGCCAAAAACTTAGAGAATTGGGGGACGGCCCAACATCTCAAGTGGGAGCATGCTTCTGCAACGGCATGCCCTTGAAGAGTGGTTGGTACTTGGCGCTGTCGACGGAGACAGCAAGGGTCGAATGCTTTTGAAGGACTACACCTGGCACTTATTCGTCAGTACATCAGTAAGTACTTCTTATAAGGCTCCTGTGTCAGTGAACCCATCCGCATTCCCTCTCCACCCGAGACCCTCAACCCAGGCTAATTTTCCAGCCCTGAAAATTACCGGATAGTCCCTGCGTGTAGTATGATATACCCCGAAGCCCTGTTCTACAACTATTTAAGAACGCTTCATCCAATGCGACACTTAGAGCCTTAGAGTGAGCATCCCCGAATCCTCAGGCGGAAAGCTCTGTGCTCCGGAACCAGAAATGGTAAACCATCAATCCTGAACCCGAGAGTCTAAACCCAAAGCCAGCAAGCGGCAAGAAGAACGCCTTCCGCCCAATCGTACGACCGAAACCGTCCCCCAAAGGGTCCAAGTATCATTATGGTATATACTTATAGGGTATTTTGGGGGTCTAAGTATATACCATAATGATACTTGGACCCTTTGGGTCCTGGGTGTAAAGGCATAAGAGCCCGATGAACTCTGGAATCGAGCCTCTCAGCCCCAAGAAGCCCCAAGCCCGACTGCACAACCTCACTTTCCCAATATAGGGCCTCAATTTATATAAGGTTTCCCTTAACCTTAAGCTATATTATAAGGGCTCTATGGTATAGGGGCAGAAAGGGGTTTTTGGGGCCCATTATACTATAAAAATAATAAGGAACCCACCAAAATAGTATTGGCAATTATTAAAGCCCCTATATTACCTAACCGAATGGGTGACTGTCCCGTATCTATACAGGGATAGGGAAGGTAATGGCCATGTATCTTTGCTGCTGAGCTAACTCACCCCTCTGAACATGAACGCTCCGATGAAATTCAAGGGACTCTACCGTAATCATGATTCGACAGGGTCTACCCTTGCCTTGGCATCTCACCCGCCCCTTTTGCAGAACAAACCGTAAACGCACCCGAAAGTCCCCTAAGCCCTAAACCCTACACCCTAAGCCCAGCCGCCAGAAAGGTAAGCACCCCGAGCTCATCCCCACCGCCGATGGCCAAGATCAGCTGTGGCTCTGGGTCGGAGAAGGCCAAAGCCTGGAGAAGGTCATGGCTTAGTTGTAAGGATTCCTTTAAGGGTCCCTTCAAATGGATCTATAGGGGTTCTATAAGGGCAAGGGCTTAAATACACTAAACTACCATAACCTACTTTTTTGTAGGCTCTTCTTATGAATCCTAATACTGACTTTATAGGGAGTTTACAAAAAGTCGGTTTTGGTAGGTTGAAGGTTATGTCAATGTATAGGGTCATTGCAAGGGCTTCTTCTTGGAGGTTCATGGGTAGTTATCATTGGGGTTCTAAGTCCGTTTATATGGGTTATAAGTATAGTTACCCTGCTTTTGACTACCCATGAACCTCCAAGTAGGGTTTCCCTGACAAGTTTTTAGGGCTCTTGTCAATGGTTATAGAAGGGTACTACAAGGCTTCCTTCTTCATCTTAGGGTAGTTTTTCGGGTTTATAGGGATGACGGTTTAGGGGTTTAGGGCTGAAAGTTTCGGGTTATACCGAAAGCTTTCTGGGCTAAAGGGCAATGTAGGACGAAGTATTCACAGGGTGCCGGGTAAACCCCCTATGCTACAGCATACATAGTGAAATGGGGCCTGTAAGGGGATACTGGACACTGGTATGTGTTTATGGGAAGCGCTGCCCAAGTTTAACTGAGACCCAAAGGACACGGTTTCTTGATGGATGGGGACCTCACAGCGGCAGTCAGATGACCTCCCTAAACAATACGACTGCAACTGATACAAGCACCCAAGATACTTCAGCAGCAGTGGAGTTATTCATTCCCTGCTTACCGGCAACCCCCCAAACCCTAAACCTAGTTCATGGTTGAGATAGTGTTAAAAATTTACATTTCTATTCCCTATTGAGTATACATACCCATAAACATGTAAAACCTTACCCAGCTATGGCACAGAAACCCCTAAACCCCAACGCCAAAGAAGAGTCATATGTGTGGTTGTCAAAATTAGGACCCCTCTTTGGGTCCCGAATATAGTACGGCACTTACTATTTAAAGTAGACCCTACAAGGGACCCTAATTTGGACAACCACCCATATGTGTAGTTGTCAAAAAAATGGTCCCTTCTTGGGTACCCTAAATATTAGGTGCCGTATTTTAATAGGGACCCCCAAAAAGGACCCTGAATTGGACAACCGCCAATATCCTGCACGGGAAGCCGGGCCTTTACTGCGCCGGTCACGAACTTCTGATAGACATTTTGCCACTCGCCCGGGCGGACTTCCTGAGCTTTGGAAAAGCTCCCTGGCTCTAAGCAAGGAATGAACTATGGGGTTTTGGATTTAGGCGTTTCTGAATTCAGGGGTTTAGAGGTTTTGGGGGTTTAGGGTTTAGGATTTAAGGGGTCAGGGGTGTAGGGTTTAGTTTTGGGATCGGGGGTTCTGGGGACTACTATAGGGCCCGTCTCAGCTGGAAGTGTCCTGGAGGAACTACAGGATGACCTCTGGGATCCTATGCGGGCTATACTACCCCAAGAAAGTTGAAGGTTGCCTATACTCTGCTGCTGAGGGTGCATTCTTTCCCGCAGCCTGGACTGAAAAGTATGCAGGTTAAAGTCGAAGAAGAGCATTGCCAAGGAATTCAATCAAGATTATAGAACAACCAAGTTGGAGGGTAAAGATCACGTTCATCTTTACCATGGTGAGAAATGTGAGAATGACGAAGATAGTCCCCGAAACCCTAAACTCCTAGAAATTAGGCCTTGCCAAGAGGCTCGCCAGAGCACGACCTGCAGGTGGCTTTCATGTTAAGATGGAGGCTGCACCTGGACCCTAAAGAACCTGGGTTTCTAGTGTTCCTCATTCCGACTTCGTGATATAAGTCCTGAGAAAGGTAGGTGATGCAAAGGTCCAGGCAGGTTTAGGGTTGAAGCTTCGGGTTTCGCGTTTTAAACTCAGCAGTGAGGGCCTACTAGGGGTTAGGGTTGCCAAACTCGATATCAATCGAAAGTATCGACAGCACCGGTTCCAAACAACTATCAGATTGAGACCATACCCAGCAACAAGCAACTTCATGACAGGAACAACCGCGAGGATGAGAACGACAAGCACATGAGCCAGCAGAGCTGCGATTCACAAATGTGGAGAAGCCACAGTTACAAAAGACCCACATGTACCCTGAACGGTGAACACCAAACCAGAACCGAGCAACATCCAACTCTGAGACCCCATATCCCCAACACCCACCCCCTCAAAAAAAAACAAAAAAAAACACACGCACAGACAAAAATAATCAAAAACACAAAAAAAAACTAAATCCTGCAGCCTAAGCCGCAAAAGCCCCCAAAGCCTCAAACCCAGAATCCAGGACCGTCAAGGCCCAATCTGGAAGCCCAAACCACCCCAAACCCTAAACCTAAACACAAAAGCCTAGACACACGGTTTGGGGTTTAGGGTTTAGGGTTTTAGGGTTTTAGGGTTTAGGGTTTAGGGTTTAGGGTTTAGGGTACCATAATCTGAAGAAAAAACCCAAGCCCTGAACCTGAGCCCCAAAACCTGGTAACTATGCTCTTAAACAGCCAAGCCCTAACCCTAAACACAAATCGCCTAATCCCCTATCTGAATCTCAACAAAAACACAGGCCCTAAACCTGAACACCAAACCTGAACTCCTGAGCCCCCTCCCCTTAGTAGTAGCAAGGTGCCTCACACATCAAATCAGGTTTTCGGGGCATATTCTAGTCAGTCAGAGCATCACCTTCTGTTCTACGATGACTGTTTTTTGCAAGCCGCTTTTAATTAAATCTAAATCCCAAAAGCCCCATGACCCCTACAGAGCCCTGCCCTAAACCCTAAACCTTCAAGCCTAAACCCTAGACGTAAAGGAACCCTTTCTTAGCTAAGGTAAATCCCAAAAGCCCTGTGACCCCTCTAAAGGAACCCTTAAACGATCCCTTAAAGGAGCTCTTAGATCCCTCAAAGGGATCCCTTTGAAGGAACCCTCGGATCCCCTAAAGGATCCCTTTAAAGGAACCCTCCAGGGTGAGATCCCCAGAGACTCCAATATCCCTTAATTAAGGAATATACCTTAAATCATATTAGGGATATCCTACTACCCTAAACCCTAAACCCTTAATTAAGGGATATACCTTAAATCATATTAGGGATATCCTACTACCCTAAACCCTAAACCCTTAATTAAGGGATATACCTTAAATCATATTAGGGATCCTACTACCCTAAACCCTAAACCCTTAATTAAGGGATATTGGAGTGTCTGAGATCGCCTGTCCATCCGAAGCTCCCGAGGCGAGCGTGGAGGGGCCGGAGGTCACCGGGGCCCAGGAAAGACAAAGCACGGAGGCCTGGTTTAGAGCTTTGGTTTTTGAGTTTTAAGGTTTAGGGTTGGGGAAGCTTAAGGCTCAGAGCTTAGGGTTTTAGGGCTTAGGGTTTTAAGGCTTAGGGCTTAGGGTTTTACGGTTTAGGGCTTAGGGTTTTAAGGCTTAGGGCTTAGGGTTTTAAGGCTGAGGGCTTAGGATTTTAAGGCTTATAAGGCATGAGGGTTCAGGGCTTTGGTTTTTGGGTTTAGGGAGGCGTAGGGCTTTGGCGAATTAGGGTTTAGGGGTTAAGGGTCTAGGGCTTTGGGGATGTTGGCGGATTTTAGAGTTGGGGTGTAGGGGTCCTGTAAAGGGCTCTAAAGGGGATAGAAAAAGATCGATTAGGGTTTAGGGGCTTTAGGGGTCGGGGTTTTGCGATGGTGGGCTTACGGGTTCAGGCTTCAGGAGCAAAGGGGTCTCCCAATTTGTTTGCTGTTGTTAACGGGTTCGTACCGTGCTTGACGCATACCTCTTTAAACAAGTGGCTCGCTGTTGCTGTCTTTGCTTTTTTGCAACCTCCGGCATGAAAATGCAGTGCAGGCTTGATCGAACGTCAACCCAGCAACGCACTCAACCCCCGCAAATCCAAACCCCCAACTGATTGTTACAGGGGCTCTACTTCTTGAGGCGGGAAGATGTTGCAGTGGAGCCGAAGAAGTCGATGGTCTTGCGAATTACTCAGACCGTCTCTTAAATCCAACAGGCCCAAATCCCGCAACGTGTGCTTCCCATACACTCACTTACTAGGGTTATAAGTAGGGTAAGTCCAGGGCTTGGGCGTGCTCGGCCCGGGGGTTCTTAGGGTTGGCACATAGCCTGGGTTTCAGTCCCTGCCTAGAGAGTCCCCAAACCTCAAATTCTGATTCCCCCAACCCCGCAACTTGAAGCCCAGACTTACACACAACTGCACGAAGCTAAAGTCGGCAAACACCCCGATCCCTAGCGACCAAATCAAGTTTGGAACGCTATCAAGCCCTTATAAGAAAACTGTAAAATCCCAAACCTACACCGAAAAAAGATCTACATCCCAGTGAGCCGAATACTCCGTGATTCTCAAAACTGTACCTTGAATGATAGAAGGATCTTTTTGTTGATTCAAGGTGTACTCCTGCGAAAAGCCATAGCAACCCCCCTCAAGTACGGCCCCTAAACCATCGTAGCCGCCTTGGAACTTATGAACTCCCTGCAGTAAATTGGGCTCTGCCGGGCAGGGAGGAGGTGGGGGTGGTAGGATTTGGGGTTTAAGGGTCTAGGGTTTAGGGTTGGGGAGGGGGTGAAGGGGGGTTGGGGGCACCTTGTGACCGACAAGCTCTGCCACCAACTCGCCGGAGCTCCAGATGCGAACCTTTCTCCGTGTGGTGTATGTATGTATATATATATATATATATATATACATACACATAAATATATGTGTGTATACACATGTGCATATACACATACACACATACACATACACATACTCTCTCTCTCTCTCTCTCTCTCTCTCTCTCTCTCTCTCTCTCTCTCTCTCTCTCGCTTATATATATATATATATATATATACATATAAATAAAAGCATGGTCAATAATCTCATATATATATATATATATATGTATACATGCACATATCCATAGTATGGTGTTTTGCGGATTTGAAAGGTGTAAGGGTTTGGATTCCATGGGCTATTCAAAAATATACAAAGATCTTATGAATGAGAGGTATAGTATGGTGTGAATATATATATATATATATATATATATATATGGGCTAGAGACTCAGGCAGCTATCTTTAGAAAGGCGGGGCGATAGTGTGCTTCTGCAACCCAACTCTTACAACTCGCGATGTCAGTAACTGAAGGTGATGCTGGTGGCGAGGTGGGAGAGATGCCGATGGTTGCCATGATGGTTAGATGGAGAGGAAGAAGATGACAAACATGGTGCCGATGGTGGCCGCCATGAACATCGCGATCAATTGGAGACGGTTTAGATGAAGGTCTTGATGGTCGTGATGCTGACATGATGATGATGATGACGGTGAAGACGATGATGATGGTGAACAAATGTTGTTCGTGTGGATGATCACGATGATGATGATGATGATGATGAGGAGGACCATGGTGACGGCGATAGAGGTCATACTGTTTGTTTCTGGCATCATGGCTACTAGCTGTTACTAGCTACCAGGTACCAGAACACGGCTGCCCTTCCGCATCACAGCAAGCCATGGACACCGAAATCGAAAGCACCGGGAAACACAGGACAGCGGCAGAAAAACAAAATATGTACCTCCTCTCCATGGTGAAAAAGACATTGCCCGTGGAGCAGCATCCGCATCAAACAACTTCAGGCGTCTATACAAATGCATCCGCAAATTCCGCACAAGTCTTACCTCCCTGAACCGAATCTGAAATAGACTCATCCTGATAGGCCCCGGAAAGGAATCCCAGCCCATTGGGGTCGCTGCCGTGCCGTCGCTGTGCGCCGTGGCAAGCCACCTTAGATCTGGCTACAAGGGGTGAGAGTGTAAAGCCAAACTTGAAAACTGCTTCGTACTGGCGTTTCTGTGCACGTTCAATTACATGCATAAACGCATGCGTGGATGACTATACATACAGGCACACCAAAACACACACACACACACACGCACGCACACAAACCCTAAACCCTAAACCCCTAAACCCCTAAACCCTAAACCACACACACACACACACACACACACACGCACCCATACACGCACACACACACACCCACCCACCCACCCACCCACCCACCCACCCACCCACCCACCCACCCACCCACCCACCCACCCACCCACCCACCCACCCACCCACCCACGCACGCACGCACGCACGCACGCACGCACGCACGCACGCACGCACGCACGCACGCACGCACGCACGCACGCACGCACGCACGCACGCACGCACGCACGCACGCACGCACGCACGCACGCACGCACGCACGCACGCACCCACACACACACACACACACACACACACACACACACACACACACACACACACCCACCCCCACCCCCACCCACACCCACACCCGCACCCACACCCACACCCACACCCACACCCACACCCACACCCACACACACACACACACACACACACAGACAGTAGTAGAGTAGAGCCAGGACATGTGGCTTGCCGGCGTCGTACGCGGCATCGTTGACCGGCCCGCAACTGTTCAAGCTACGAGCGGCCATGGCTCAAAGGGGAAAAGGAGGGACCCTTAATGGGACCCCTACCCTATAATGGGCTATGTAATGGGTATATAATAGCTATGTTATGGGTATATACCTAGGGGTCCTGATTAAGGGTCCCTCCTTTTACCCTTGGAATGGCAGGAAAAAGATGGAAAAAGACGTCGTATAGGGCCTACTTGGGTCTATGGTTCAATTTGGGTTAGGGCTTATAAGAGTCTATGGGGGTTCCAGGTTCGGGCTCGGCCCTGGCAGTGTCTACTAAGGTCGACGGTTCAGCTTCATATGGGCTTGGGGCTCGGGGTCGTAATAACACCGCTGCTCTCATGAATCTGAAAGGAGCAAATGCGGCTCTGGACTTTACGGTGCTTATAGTACTCCTGCGATGATGGCCGACTTGGGCGGTAGTTTCTGAAGCTGGCTACATCAAGCCGACGGTGATGATCGGAAAAGCAGCAATCAGCACAGACAAGGTTATAACGTCTAAAGACAACAGGAACCGCACGAATACTCGCATCACGGACAGCAACAAGACAACAAAACCAAGACATCGGTGGTTGTCAAAATTATGGTCCTTTTTTGGGTACCCTAAATGTTAGGTGCCGTATTATAATCAGGACCCAAAAGGGACCCTAATATTGACAACCACCCACGTGAAGGCTACATCATCTTGCTTCTCCCCGAAATCCAAGGCCCCAAACCCAAACCCGAAACCCGTGTGCTGACGCTGAGGAAAGGTGCTTGTGAAGTCATTACAAGGTGCTTGTGAAGTCATTACATCTATCGTCGAAGGTCAGAGCTGTCTTTAGGGTTTAGGACCTTTAGGGTTCAGGAGTGGAGGGAAAGAGCCGGGGTTTATACCAGGTTTTATGGGGTTTAGGGCTACGGGGCGGCTTACGCTCTTAGAGTCCCAATACGAGTCCACAATCATGTGGGTATTTGTCAAAAATAAAGCCCCTTTCTGGGTGCCCTACATGATAGATGCCGTATTATCACGGGGACCCAAAAAGGGGCCCTAATTTTGCGAGGCTCCTAAAGTATGTTTTTAACAAGCCTTCGTTTCGGTTTAGGGTTTAGGGTAGGGTTAAGGTTTTTAGGGTTTGGGGCTTAGGTTTTAGGGTTTAGGGCCTGGAGCCAGACCTTTAAGCTTCTGATGGCGCATGAATAGGCTCTAGGCCACGATAATGAGGCCTGACTCACTCATCATCAAGAGCAGTACGCCCTATGGCACCCAAAGATAGTACAAGCAATGGCATCATCCCCCCTCCAAAAACTCACCTTCTTCACCCTGAACCCCTACACCCTAAACCGTAAGCAAAAAATCCACCTTCTTCACCCTGAGCCCCTAAAAACCCTAAACCCTAAGCCCATATCTCTTCCGTCTTGGGTTTCAGGTTTAAGGCCTGGGGGCGCGAGAGTAGGGCTTAGGGTTTGCTGCTCAGGGCCTGAATTAGGGTTTAGGGGTTTAGGGGCTTAGGGTTCCGGGTATAGGGGATTAGGGCTTCAAGTTCAGGGTTTAGAGGTGGAGGGTTTGAGGTTTTGAAGGCCGGTTGACATTTAGACACCCCTGCGCCATGCAAATGCCGGGTCAGAGTTGCTTTCTGTGATCTCGAAGGACCAGCCGTCCGGGTTGGCAATGTGTCCGAAAACATGTGGTTGCGGATTCGAACTCTGCCTCTGCCTCTGGAATCTTCGGTCGCCGATTGGCTGCAGGCGCAATCTTTCAATTTGCGCGAACAAGCTGCAATCTTTCCCATGGCCGATAAATCACATGGATCGAAAATGGAGCTGATAAACAATGGACCCGATGGGTCATCTTCCATCATGTCCCTGGCACCACGCTCATGACATCCCAGCAAATCCGAAATGCTAGAGATCGGATGACGTCATCCACCGTCGTGTCCAACCAAGCAAGCGATCGGAAGCTGCTTCCCCGTGCTGGTCCGCAAGGTGAAGGACGCGAGCTGGGGGGCTCAGGGCCCGCAATGCAAGCTCACGTCTGAGAGTCTGAGAGTCCTAAACCCGAAACCCTGCACCAACACTTCACTGAAAAGTGGGGGTGTGGGACAGAAGCACTAGATCCTGAATCCATCGAACCGAGCGGAGCACCTGTGACTTAGGATCCTTTTGTATGAAGATAGCTCTGAAGGGCAGCTCAAAATTCCAAACATACGGGGATCTAGGGCACTCCATCAACCTTCCAGCGTGGCAGGGTTAAGATGAAAGATTAGTTTAGTATTGAAATTGTATTAAGCCCTATAAACTCCAAAACCCCAGAACCTAAACCCAAAAACCGGGCTGTTTTGCGTTGACTTTGGATAGCCACTTCGGCCATCGCCAGCGTTTCTACCCGAGGGCCGCGGCATCTGCACAAGCCCAGCTCTCGTTTGGCGTCCGAAGGCTGCAGCACAAAAGCTTCTTTAGAATCCTTCTTGTAGGGTTTACCCTAAGGCCCCAAAGTAGTTCCCTTTTGGGGTTCATCTTTAGAATCTTACGAGGTAATCCCAAAAAAGAACTACTATGGGGCCTCTGGGTACCTGAACCCTGAACAACCTACCCTTTTAAGGACGTTTATAAGGAAATCATAATGAGGAACCCTAAAAAAGGTAGGTTATTCAGGGCTAAGGTATAGGGTTTAGGGTTCTCCAGACTCCTTCTTGTGCAACTAGGGGTATCTAATTTTGGGGTCCTTATAATGAGGATGTTAGTATTTAGGCTAGTATATCAGGGTGGTTCCCAAACCCTCCACCCGAAACCAATGGTTCGGGGTCTCGGTGCAGACCTTCAGGTACAGACACTCACGGATACCTAGCTTCATAGTCTATTGCCTGAAACAGGCAAGTACGCGTTGAGGGCGAAGGGGGAGAGGGGTAAGGTAGCGATTTACCAACTTTACAAAAAGGAACCTGAACCCTAAACCCCGAACCCTCAACCCTAGAAACTGCAATTCGAGCAATCTCAGGGAAGTATAGGGATGGTGATATGGGGGCCTAAGTAGAATAGTAAGGCTTTTGGCGACATGTCCTCTCATACCTATCACGGGGCTACACGGGGCTGCTCTTCTTACTGCTGTTAAGTCATTCCCTAGGGCTCCAGTTACCAAAATAGTAGGTTACTATAGCTGTATATTCTGTAGCCCAGTAACCTACTATTTAGGTAACAGGAGCCCTAGGGATTGTTTTAGTCTGACCGCTCGGTAGTCTGGAAAATTCATTCTCGATTTAGCGCGTTCTTGCTTGCGGCCTTCAGGTTCAGGGTGTCGGTAAGGGCGCTGAGGCATGTGGTTGGTGCTGCAATGTCTACGACTTGGTCTACAAATGCATGAAGCATGTTTGCCCAGCTTCCGGCCTCAATAGCTAGAGTGGGCTTTCGGCACACAGTACTTCGCAATCACAGGGAATACATGGGGATTCATGACACGAAGGTACCTACCCCAAAAGCTGAATCCTAGACATCTCCGATTACGGCCGCGATGCTGCAGAGTGAAACATGTCTTTGCCATGGCGCGCTCACAAGACTTCGTTGATCTGGGGTGGGGACAAAGGCTCTGTTTATCGGTTTGAGGGTATTAGGCTTTAGGGTTTTGGGGTGCTAGGCTGCTTTTTGTGTGTTTAAGTTAGGGCATTAGAGTCTTTAGGGCTGATGGCGTTCTTATACGAGGTAACAAGAGTTTTTATAGCTGAGGGCGGTTTTATGTTATACGGTTATACGAGGTATTGAGGATGTACTTCCCCGATGCATAAGCACCCTTGTCCTCCTTACTTTGCTGGCCGTATATGATATGTTGGTGTCGCTGTTCGTCCACCTGAAGTGCACGATGGCGATTACCAAGCTGGCTGGTACTCGTGTATGTCCGTCTGTTCGGCCTGATGATGACTGCAATCCCCGTACTGATCCTGCACACCTACGACCGACGCAACCATAAATATCCGTCACCAATTTGCGGTCATCACCTTACCACCACCAGCATTATCATGGGCTGCTCCATCAACAACATCACCATTCTCAACAACAAGTCCTGACAAGGCTGTGGTGGGGTTTAGTCGGTTAGGTGCCTCTTTCGAGGAGTCCTTAACCCTTAACAGAATAGGTAGGATCCTACCGCTCAGGTTTTGAACTAAGCCCCCTGGCCCCTTTATCTTCACTATCATCACGACATAGACTCAAGTTGCCAGCATAACCCATGGCGGCTGACACAACTTCAGATGAATTCAAGCGACCGAAATTGCTTATACAACACCAGTACGAGCGCACAGTCAAACGCAATAAACTGTAGTACTTCCGTAGCAAACGTGCTTGTTGGTTCGTGGCGCCCTCTTTCAGAAGCCTTCGATTCTATCCGCCATGAGGAGCAGCATCACCCCTGGAGGTGTCCGCCCAAACGAAAATGTCAGCCACACATTACTTGGGCCAAGTCCTCTGGGCTACAATAGAAGAATACCAAGCAGAGTTCTGCAAAAAGGGGGTCCGTATTGCTCTCGTGCATGGCTTACATTCCCCAGTCACTTATACCCAAACCCCGAGGCCTGAAGCCCTAACCGAATTCCCAACCTGCCAACCTAAAGCCGAAACACATTATGGAACCCCTAAAGAACACCTAAAGAACCCTATAGGATCCCGTAAGCAACTAACCGCCACACTGAATGCGGGTTCGCCGGTCCCCTTGTTTAGTTCCAAGAATAAGAAGGGCTCTCCGAAATCAAAGGGTAAATAACATGGGAGTGCTGGGGGAGCTGGACATAATCCACCCTAAACCTTAAACCCCAAATTCCTGTAAACCCCGTGCCCTTGGCCCAATGGAAAGCTCCGAAGACTCTGAAACCTACAAAGCCTTGTAGAAACCTTACAGTCTCCACATTTAGAACCCCAGACCCGTGCTCAGGACTTTAGCCTTCGATCTAAATCCTTCGAAGCCCAACTCTGAACCCCTTTCCCTAAGCCTTATACCCAAACCGTTGATCTAGAAAGTAGATCCCCTACACTACTAAGGGTACTTTATAGGA